TTGTGTGCAATTGGTGTCCAATTAACATCAGTTGAAATGAGATGTGTTAATTCTGAACACAGCCGCATTAATCGTGGGTGGACACACTTGCGCAACCTCATTATGTCAACCCCTCTCAGATTGTTTTACCATTTTTTTTACAGGTTATAGGTCAAAATCTTTTGAAACAATTAATCTTAGTCCCTCTCTCTTTTTTATATCACAAAAACCTGCCATTTGAACAGGAGTGTGTAAACCTTTAGTTCTATATACTTTGTATATATCCACGGCACTTAGTTGTACAAAATCAGGATCCCAAGTCCCCTCTCAAAAAATGAAGGCTACACTAATTAGTCTCCTTGTACTGAGCATTTATATCAAATCGGCATCGGTAGCAATACACCAAGGATTTACTTAAACACCGTTAGTCTGGCCCTAGAATGTAAAATACACATTCAGATGGAGATTTTCCACCGGGGAGTTTTCTAGCGTTGCTAGCCAGCAAATGAAGCGCAGGCATTGGAAAAAAAGCCCCCTAAAATAGACTTGGAGTCTACCAGAGCAGACTGCTCCATGTGAGCAGATGTCTTTAGACTTGGTGAAGCAGCATGTGGCTCATTATCCATGGGTGTTCATGTACGCTTTCCTCCAAGCAACTGTGAATTATTATTGTAATAAATGTGATCAGGCTCGTGTTGAGTCAGATGACTTTGCATACTGCATTCTAATGATAGCTTGTATACCATATTGCAATAGTACTACAATACCTCGTCTTACGCACCAAACCGTGTTAATTGTCTCGACTGAAATTAGACAGTTTGGCAGCGACATGGAATGAATCATCAAACTGGAATGTACGTCTATTTCTGACTGTGTGGGTTAATGTTATCAGACCAACGTTCTCGGCGGGGGACGACTCAGCCTATCGAGCTTACCAAATGTGGCCTTCTTTCTGTGACGGTCTCAAGTATGATGCATTGTAGATGAATTTGTATCCTTCCATCGATGCCAAAAGATTAACAAATTGTAGAAATACGATTGGGGTGCCCATTATGTCAATCTTGAGCTACCCGTCGATCGCGAAGTGAGTATCTGTAGCGCTCAAGGCATTAAAATACATAAAGAATCTGTCACCTATCCCGCTTTGTGAAATTTGCGACTCGATTGATGCACACCAGCCGCATGGCTCACCACGCATGCGCACACGGGGGGGGTTCTCAATGATTAAAAGCTCCTGTAGCATTCAAAAACTTCACGCACAGTTTGGGAAAATTGTTGCCGGTTGTTCTTAGAACTAGAAGAAGTTGAATTTGCGGACCACAGGAGCAATATTTTGAAAATGCACACCGGACAAGGAGCGAATGTTGTTGTGATAATAGGTACAAGTTTCCAGTGCCTACCCAGGAATGAAGAACACGGAGGAGAATTAGTCTGAAATATTAATTTGAGAAGCTCACCTTAACATGGTACCGGTGGTCCATTCAATTAGTGGACAAATAGCCCACGTAGCAACATGGACATCTAACTTGCGCCACGACAAACCAACAGAGATGATTTGCCGGGTGCCACAAAAATGTGACATGATGACACTTAAGTATGAGTCAACCTTTGAATTTTTTAGGACAGCCTCAAGCGTTTGGATTTTGTGGACATGAAGTGCTTTTTGTCATGAAGCAACATTAAGCTGTCGTGAACGCCTGTCGGAGAGGAAAACGTTAATGCTCCTAAAATCCAAAATATTGGGCCTATCGTTCTTTGCAGCGGCTGAAGTTGGCAGAAGAAGAGATGTCGACATAAATTTTGGTAAAGATCAAGTGACATTTACCGATTTCTATGGAAAGGAAAACACTTAAACGGCAATAAAATCCCAAAGATTGGGGCGGTCATGTCAATATATATATTTTTTTTTGATAGGAGCATACTTCATTTCGATTTTGTAGATCAATTTAATACTTTGAAGCTACATGTATTAGTGAAGCAAAGCAAAACTTTTCAGGGCTAAAGAAAAGGTAAATAAAAACGAATAAAAGTGTTTATTTTACTCATCTTCAACACTGTGCCTTTCCGTAATTTCACTCACTGCTTGCTGATGCCATATGTTGCGATTTACATATGATCCGATGAGTCGACTAATTGCTATCAGTGACTAGTCAACTAGCAATATGGTCGTTTGCAGTAGCCCTAATGTCATTTCGTATTAACTGCGGCCACTGATGTTAGGAAAAGCAGACATTTATGTCCAGGAGAAATATTGTACAGGTAGCTTTTATTTCATGGTACGTTTGCCATAAGAAAGGAATGCAAAACAACCGTCAGTAAGATGCCTTGCAGAGAGGCCTCTGTCTTTCGACAAAGACGCGTCGGGTTGAAAATCTACCCCATAATATTCCATTCGGTTGTAAAAGGTTATTGGAAACTGAAACATCTCAGAGAGTCCGTTATTTGTATAAAATAAAACTTGACCTCCTTCCTTATTTGCATCCTAAATCACTCTCACCCGTGATTTCAAATAGATAAACAGTTAAAGGCTTTGGGAATGCACAGTGAGTGCCCGCATTTATTGTCCTATTCCAAGACAGAGATAAGACGACGGGCTTTTTACAACTGAGCAAAACACTAAAAGGAAGGACACTTAAAGTGCCATTGTCAACGCCGACAATGGCTGACAAGATTCGGTGGGTGCAGTGTGGATCAGCAGAGGGTGGTGGTGCAAATACTTGAGTTTCCATTGCTTTGCAGTCGGCTGTGTGCATGTGTGTAGCAGATGTTCTATACGGCCTATCAGACAGCCGGCAGCATGTTGCGGCTGATACCCTGGTCAGTCAAAGTGACTGGCAGGTGCGTGTGTGGCTGTTTTGAGTGTGTGTTGCGTGTAGTCGAGGCGCTTGCTTTGCCTGCAGCAAATCAATGTCCCCCTCAAGGGAGCATGGAACCGGAGAGATCGCAAAGAAAGACAGTGAGGCAAACTTAACCCCGGGCGAACATTTTTTCTCCGCGCTCTTTCTTCTCTCTGCCTCTCTCCGTCGGCCCCCGCCCCCCACAGTAGGTAATTCTCCCCTGCCGCTGGTTACATGTTGATCGGGGAAATGAACTCTAACCCGCCACCATTATGTGGTCTGTCGCTGTCAAGAGCTTTTACGTCAAAAGGCGGGGGGGGTGGGGGGGGTGAAGTTGAAAAGAGGTTTGACTGTATTATGCTTATTAGAAATCATGCCTCGGTTTTCCTCTTTAGAGGCCATGTTTTTAAAAGACCATTTTAATGTAGACGGTGAGAGCGATTGCAAGGATTTAATAAAGAAAAGAGTGGGAAGCGGGACTTCAGACAAAAAAAAAAAAAAAAAAGGTTGAAATACTTGTCCCTCGCGCAAACTCTTCACTTTTCAAGGGAACATTTAGCAAGAAAAAAAAAAATAGGAAGCAGCCATGGATAAGGGTTACGTCTCAATGGTGTCATATAGATGTGTCGAAGTGCTACTGGCATGAGTGTCGGTAAACACAAAGGGGCTCCGAGGACAATTTTTTTTTTTTTTTTGACGAGAAGACCTTTTAATCATGGCGTGCAACTCAATAAAGGCGCACTTAAAAGTCATTATGGTCTGCTGTCTTGTCAGACACGACTAGTCATAATACAATCGCTGACATAACCCATTTATAGCGACCCAAAACGGCTCATGCATAGGGCAGCGCTGGAGAAGGACCAAGTGGATAAATGTGGATGTGCATGTACAAAAAGTGTGAAGTGAGCATTCCGTTTCAGCCGTCGGCCAATGGAACAGGCGAAGGGTGGAACACAAATATAGCTTGCATATTTTGTCAAAGAGAATGTATTAATGTATTTATTTAACGCCCGACTGAGCTAAAGTCTTGTTTCATCACCACGATGGGTCTGTGGGGGATATAAAGCACGCCAGTCAATTCACAAGGAAGACTCAAGATCAGCAATTTTCTGAGACAGACGGTAGCCCCTCCAGCAGCATGGTTGTGGTCTTGATACTCTATTGGGATCCAATGCAGGAGCTGAATTGACGTTTTACACAGATAATGCTAAACACTGTCAGCAGGGTATTCATTTGAAAGCCTAAGGTAATGATAAATAACATGGGACTAGAAACTTTAGTACCTTGATGTTCACGGTTTATCAATGGAAATGAGATGAATAAAGGAGCGTGACGAACCCTGATCGGACAAGTCGAAGGTCACAACAACAACTAGAAACTTTCGTACAATAATGTCTTTTGAGATATGAACTTAATTCCAACCAAACCACGCTAGTAACTCAAAACACTCTTTTCTCAAATCGTCTTTCACCAGTGAAATTAATGGAAAAGTCATGAATCCGTTCTAGTAATATGAGTCATTTTTCATAGATGATAAAGAATCCTGTGAATATTGTTATATTATCGGTCTGCAGGTGCTGGTCCACCGTTTGTGTTCAAACCGTAACTATAAATGTCAGCATGTCAATGCACAACGTATAATTCTTTTTGTTTGATAGTAAACCTCAACTGGGAATGTTATTAACAGCTCGAGGCCTCATTGTTGAAGAATTGTTCAGTATTTGTCAAAGCACCGCGAGTTGTGAAGTGGGTTGAACTGACTTCACTGCTACCATACAGCGCTGGTATCTCAAGTTTGCGCTCGCAAGTTTAACCAAAATAAATAAATGAACATTTTTTTTTTTAATTAACATCGACCAAATGGTGGCTTTCTATGTATCTCGAAGAATTTGTATGTCGGGTCACTCGTATCTCAAGGCAACATTGTACCTTGTCATAACTGTTTTTTTTGGGAAATTATATTGACAAGGTATTACAACAAGTACTTCAATATTACCTTTGCCAATGGTAAGTATTGAGATGAAAGTTAACCAAATTCACTGTCACTGAACCAAATTAGGTCACCAAATTAAAGGTGGACTATTCAATACGGTCGACTGTAATGCAGTTCTGCTGTAGAACCAAAAAAAACAACAATTTGTCCTAAGAATGCATCTCTGTAGGATATTGTTTGTCGAGTGTTACCTGTGGCAGTTGTCTTTGACTGGGATGCGATCTCCTGATGGATCGATGGGTGAGTGGAGCAGGTTGAGACAAGATGCCAAGGACTGGCTGGAGTCTTGTCTGGAAACTGTGCAAAAGCACAAACACACACACACTTAAAATGTGCTAGTAACTGGCTAAAACATATTCGAGTCCATGAAAAAAAAAACTGGTCACCATGATAAAAACTTTACAGGTAATGTTTTAATTAACATGTTAGCATTACATTTTTAAAAACTAAGGATCTGCAGACATCCAGAAGTCAATATTACCTGTACTGGAAAATAACACTTTTTGATGGGTTTTGAAAAATTCACCACAACTCTACGTCGCCGCTTGGCAGATACGAGATGGGAGAATTTGAAAAAAAGGAAATCGCTGCCTACCTGGAGGAAGACCAGACACGGGAAATAAGGGACTAAGCGTGTAGTGCGTAAAGTGCAGCAACATCCCAGCGAAGCTCGCATGCACCATTTGAAAAATAATGCTGCTCTGCTGCTGTCAATCAGTAGCTAGCTTGCTGTGGGCTAACACGAAAACAGTAGACTGCGCACCGTGACATTAGGCTCTGTGCATTATTAACACCCACGCTACTACTGCTTTGAAGCCTCTTTTGAGGAATGCTACACTACATGCTAATTACGTTAATGTCCGCTTGTTCAAATGAATGTAGCGTGTGTGTATGTGTGTGTGTGTGCATAATTGTTATTTAATTCATTGTACATATTTCTTTTTAGACAGTGAATAGACTAGTTGACGCTTCGACTTTCCCATTTTGCGGTGATGGTTAAATAGCTTAAGCTCGAGAAATCACGAATCACGCATTTTGTAGAAAAAATAAAAATAAAAAGTCTAACATCGTCGCCTCAGATGTCAAAAATTCTTTGTGGCTCCCAGCGTTGTCTTTTCCGTGGAAACTGGGTCGAGATGGCTCTTTGATCGTAATTGGTGGCCGACCCCTATTCTATGGTTATTATTACGCATATCTGAGGCTGCACAGTTGAGGTGGAGGCACACAGAATCCAGCAGTCCAACACGTTTGGTCATAAGTTGAAATGAAATGCCTTGCTCTTTAATAAAAGACTGCAACAACCATCCTGAGAGAGGTTAAAACAAAATTGTGGCAGTGTGGTGACTTGGGATGCAATGTGAGGCCAAATGTGTGTGTATATCTGTAAAAAGTTCCAACTTTGTCGCAATAATTCAAACGCTTAATTTCATACTCGAGTCTGCACACCATTAGGGCCGATGACTAAGCTTGTGCTGCTGTGTGTGTGTGTGTGTGTGTGTGTGTGTGTGTGTGTGTTATGAATGATGGTGGCTTCTTTGGCGATACATCAGCCAGTGTGTCCTCTGAGATCTTGTGTTTGTGTAAGCGACGTTCAAAGAACACACGCTGCCCTCCCTTCATTGCTCTCTACAAAATGGTGTCCACTGTCCAGCCAAGTGAAGGTTACCCCTTCTTACTTTATCTGCCTTCACCAAAGTATCGATGAGCTCCTCTCTTAACGGTCCTGTTAAAGGTCATAAATAAATGACTCCAATTAATTTGCAATTTATTTAGGCTACATGAATCATCTACACTCGACATTACATCTCTGATGTTGTTTCTAACTAGCAATAAAATGATTTTATTCATCTCAAAGATGCCTTTTTATAATCGTAGGTGAGCCATTTCATCACACTGCAGCGTTGTGCACATGAGGCACTTGTGAATTCTCCCTGTGCCAGTGTACTGTGCTGTGCGGCCATATTACGATATGATATATAGGATGACGATATAAAAAGCCGCGGCGTCACCGGCTTGGGACGCCGGCCGCCAAGTCAGCGGCCAGCAGCCTCTGTAACTATTTTGAGGAGTGAGGTTTTACTAGCGTACACTCAATCAGCGCAAGCCTCCATCCTTTACATTGGATAAGCTCTGTTGCTATGCTAACCTAGCATCGGGGCGTTTCACTGTCTAGCCATGACATCCATTTACACTCAATGCCACTGTTATTCTCATGTCAACTTGGAGTTATTCTTGGTTTGACTGGTTATGTCTGGAAAGGGACGGGGAGATTATGTGAGCTTTTCTTTCAAGAGTTGTCAACAGATGCTAGAAATGAGGACCTCACGCACTTATTTAGCACACCACCGCTGACTGAAACGTCGGTGTTCCTAGTGACTGACAGTCATGGCGCAAGATTGAAACGTTCCAAAGTGTGGTTACATTTCTCAAAGGGTAAGAGTGACAATGCACATGTTGCCGTCACAAACGGGATCAGTCTTTAAAATATCAGGGGGAACACAAGCAAGCTTAACCAACAATAGAAAGTGTGCATCTCATCTCACAGAAGTGAAGCTTTTTCAGCCCAATTCCAAGTCTAAGCCTTGTCGTGTGGAATTGTGATTCAATTAAAGCATTTCAAGACAACCAGATTTATAGTTCATCATTTAAAAGTCAATAATGCCTAAAAAGCCAAGTAGAAATTACATTAAAAAAAAAGAAAAAATAGAATGAACCTATAAAACTGTGGTGTTGAATGTAACACAGTTGGAAAATTTGGGTGAATTTTTGTGCTGGTTTACCAAAGGAAAAAAGTTGCACCAGCACAACCAGTGCAAAAAGTTAGCCTCGAGCCCTGACAAATAATAATTTTTAAAAAAGACAACAACAACAAGCAAGGCACCACAGTATTATCATTTTGTTGTGCATGAATGAGGTTAAGCATACATTTGCGAGGTGACAAGACACCGCGTTAACTGATATTCACCATCTGTGCGAGCACGTGTAAATGGAATAAGTAAATCCAGTGTGGCAAATCTGACCAATTAACCCGCTCGACTAGCCAGGACTATTTGCCAAAACGGTGAAACGTACAAAGCAGCACAACATAAGTGCTTCAGACAATTAGCGCCATTTTAAATTGATCGAGCTCCAGTTAACACATTCAGGTGAGGTGCGTTCACAACTCATTTACGATCATATTCACACACATTCCATTAAAAGATAAATAAATAAATGAATAAATCGCTTGGCACGCTTTGTAGCGTTGCGCCAGGCAACACGTGTAGCTTGGTAATCACTTCTCAAGGCTGAGACATGCTGTACATGAGGCAACGATATCAAAGTTGTGTGCCAGATGTTGAAGGATTGGGAGAGACGGTTCAACTGGAGGCAATAAAATGAATGTGAGGAGGATCAAAGAAATCTACCATAAGAGGACTGAGCGATGCATATGATCAAAACATAAGATTCTCCAGGCTCTTCGAAAAATATATCTACATCCAATAAAAAGTACGGTGAACAACCCAAAAGCTTAAAAAAAAAGGGCTCAAAATTTTTGTGCATGTCAGCAAATCATGAAACTTCAGCTCAGTGAGAACGTAAAGCTGTAAAAGAACTTACTTCACGAGTGTTTAATAGCTGTATGAATGATCAAATGAATGAATGAAACGAACAAGCTGTGCTTGTCAGTTAAGGATCATAAAATGTTACTTTGAATCATGGCTTGTACAAGTTGAAGGTTTGATGAGGGTGACATCTTGAGCCTGGAACTGACTTTCCATGATTTTCTACGGCGATATGATCAAAGCAATTACCGTGACGATGGCGCTGATCGTCAGATAGGTCCAGGTCCAACATGAGGTCATCTTCATCCAGCTCAGAGGAGCCCAAATTATTCAGGACATCCTAAAGACACACACACACACACACACACACACACACACACACACACACACACACACACACACACAAAAAGATGACTAATGTTTTTTTTTCAATTCATTTTGCAATTAGGAAAAATATCATCCATACAATGCAAAGCAGACACATTAATCCAATAATTCTGGAACGCCTCGGGACACAAATCACTCAAATTAAAATGTGTGAGACATTGCAATGGACAAAAAAATTTAAAAAAAGTTGAAGTGATTTTAATCATTTGTAGAAAAAGAGCTCATGTTCTCTCCAAAGTGTTGGTACTTTCTTGCCTTGGAGACAGAGAATGAGATTTAGTGGCTCATCATTATGACATAGCAGAGGGGAAAAATGTACTGAAGGAGCTATAAGAGAGAAAGTGATCATCCATCCATCCATTTTCGACAGTGCTTGTCCTCATTTGAGTCGCCTATCCCAGATGACTTTTGGCCGAGAGGCGGGGTATGCAATGGATTGGTTGCCAGGCATACAAACAACCATTCACACTACTCACATTTGTACCGATAGACAATTGAAGAGTCTTCGATGAAGCAAACATGCATCTTCTTGAGATGTGGGAGGAAGCCAGAGTACCACACACACACACACACACACACACACACACAAAAAGATGACTAATGTTTTTTTTTCAATTCATTTTGCAATTAGGAAAAATATCATCCATACAATGCAAAGCAGACACATTAATCCAATAATTCTGGAACGCCTCGGGACACAAATCACTCAAATTAAAATGTGTGAGACATTGCAATGGACAAAAAAATTTAAAAAAAGTTGAAGTGATTTTAATCATTTGTAGAAAAAGAGCTCATGTTCTCTCCAAAGTGTTGGTACTTTCTTGCCTTGGAGACAGAGAATGAGATTTAGTGGCTCATCATTATGACATAGCAGAGGGGAAAAATGTACTGAAGGAGCTATAAGAGAGAAAGTGATCATCCATCCATCCATTTTCGACAGTGCTTGTCCTCATTTGAGTCGCCTATCCCAGATGACTTTTGGCCGAGAGGCGGGGTATGCAATGGATTGGTTGCCAGGCATACAAACAACCATTCACACTACTCACATTTGTACCGATAGACAATTGAAGAGTCTTCGATGAAGCAAACATGCATCTTCTTGAGATGTGGGAGGAAGCCAGAGTACCCGGAGAGCATGCAAACGAGATTCAAAATCCAAACCTTTCTGACTGCGAGCCAGACGTGCAGCAGAAACTGATTAGTTAAATAGAAAAGACAAGCAGTGACTCATCGAACGTGGATTTTTTATTTTTTTTTTGTAGCTTTCTATTCCATCATAATCTACTTCATTGCAATTACTCGCAAAAATGACGGGTAAATCTAACATGTTAAAATATTACTGCATTGCCCTTTCATAAAGCACTCTGGGCTATTATTCTATAAGGACATCCCTCCCATTTTAGAGACAGTGAAGAGCTATGTTAATGTATAAAATGTCCGCATCAGTTGAACGGCTGAAAAGACGCACTGGCGCCTTCATTATCAGAACAAAATCCACTACTGCCATCTAATGGGCAGGAAAGGGATGACTACTGTAGGGAAAAAAAAAAATCACAAAATACTACTCTGAATGATCTCGATCTTTACTGACATGTACATTTATTATACTAAAGCGAAATAATTTTTGTGAGAAATATTTTAATGCAGTCAATGCACTAACAAAACAATGGTATCATTGTTTGAAATCAGTTTAAATGGGCAAACCACAAGCTTTTCAAAACAACTTGAACACTTCACCCTTTCCTGTGGAACATGAAAGATCCTCAAAAGAGGAAACAAAATGTGCCTCAAAAGTCAAACTTGAGTTGAAACTAACATCATACCAGACGTTAGCAAAACTTCTGCTTGATTAGCATCCAAGTTAAGTTCACAAGTGTGTTTTGTTTTTGTTTGCTTTTTCGGAACGCCATCACAGAACGGTGCCAGCGATGACAAAAAGGAAAACTATGACAACCATAGAACCGTAAATGCAGCTTCAAAACTCATGTTTTTCTGCAAACAACAAGAACCAACACAACTACCGGTCATAAGTGATGTGGTTAACCAGAACATAAACACAAAACTATGGGGCGGCAACATGGCAGAGTCTCTTAGTAGTCAATAAGCAAGCGTCAACGCAGTGCGCAAGATGATTTATAATATTGTTAACCTCTTAAAATAATGGCCCAAGTCATATTTAGACAAAAATTATTTTGCTGCCTTAAGCATCACCTCAGGCTTGGCTACCTAAAACTAAAAAAGGCTACATCCTTAGTGGAACACATAATTCAATTCTACCCCAGAAAGGAAATTATTAATCATCAATTTTGGGTTAGTTTTTTTTAGATTTCTTCTGAAAAAAAAACGGAAAAAATGATTAGGCTATTATTTTAGGAAGCTGTCGATATTACAAAGAGACATTTAAAGTCTCCACACTTCAAATAATCAGACAGACTGTTATAAAATGCTGCTGTTTTCGTTAGCGACAGAGTGCAAACCGTCTCAGTCGCTAACTCTTTAGTGTGTTGGCAATCGCATCCGTTAACTGTCTGTTTCTATGCTTTGGTGATTGCTGCTGTTTTGGTGAGCAAAAAAAGTTCAGTGGGTCTCAGGAGTGGACTGATTTGTGTTAAGTAGATGATTAATTGTGGCGCTGTTTAAAAACGAAGTGAAAAATCAGGTGGAGTGAATGTGAGACTGAATGGATGTTTGTATACATCTGTCTCCTGATTGGCTGGCAAACAGTCCATGGTGAACTCAACCTCTTGTTCAAAGTCACCTGGGTTAAATTCCGGTGAGTACAAACGCTAGAGAAAATGGACAGATGTTTGCTCTCCCAATAAATGCTTCACGCATGGTCGAAAGAACTTGGTTCAACTCTTGCTCTGGAGAAAAACTAAATCCATGCAACTCGCGAGGGACTCGGGAAAATCCAATAAGCGACTTTGTTCAGCTCTCATCACCGCTGTTTGGACTAAAAACAATGCAACAGCCTCATTCCATATTGATCCGCTACACCGACACACGAGGGGGGGGGGGGGGACGGCAGATGAAGGAATAACTAAAAAGGTGGTGTGCCTTTCTAGAAGCAGCTGCTGTCCATACATGAGAAACTAAATCAAACAGTTCTTTCTCAGTGAAGCCAGAAAAAAAAATGGCACTGAAGCTAATAGACACACACACACGCACGCACACACACACACACACACACACACACACACACACACACACACACACACACACTGTATTGTAAAAGAAATGTAAATCTTCAGAATGAAAAGCCGCAGCACACAGACTTCATTTGAGGCTAAATGAGCCATTTCGACGAATAAGTATGATTTCTCTGATGCTGAAATGTCGCCTTTTTTACCTCGGTTATGCCATTTGAGCGCCAACAATCGTGCTGCTAATGGACATGTCAGACCGAGGGTCTCATTAGTGGCTGGATCTTCTCCGAAGTACCAAGTGGAATGACATCCACAACAAAGTAATGACAGCCCTGTCCTTCTGAGAAGCCAGACTTGACATTTACAGTAGAGTCAATACTTTGGATAGCCATTGTGTTCGGGTGAAAGAAAGAATATTTGCAGTCATGACAGCCTGGAGCGTGCGGAACAGCAAACTAGCTTCCATCTTTCCACCTGTGTTTGCTGTAATGCACCCAGGGGTGGGGAAAACTGAACGTCGACAAATGTAAAATCCATTTCTTGAACGAGGAGGCATAAAAAGGAACGTTACGCACTCGGTCCAAGGGTCCTTCCTCACTTATTCACTTTTACAGCCTTTTTCCGGTTCTAATCAATTGTTGCATTTATAAACCTTCTCCCTTGTTTAACTGAGGGAGTTTGATATTTTAGCACGCTGCATTCACACTCACAAGTGAAGTGGTGAGAAGTCACGAGTAGTTAATTCAGATGGAACGGGATGAAAATAAAATCATTCTGATTTAAGGTCACGGTACAGCAAGGGAAGAAAATGTGGAACGAAAAAAACTGCTTACTGTGCTATCAGGAGCACATTTAAATCCTCATGTTATGTTGCAGGTGAAATGGACACGTTAAAAAGTTTAAAACTCAGAATGAAAAGTTGAGTTTTAAGATAAAAAAAAAAGAAATGTATTAGAGATATACTGTATAGAAAAACAAACAAGGTTAATGACAAATAAAAATAACCTGATTTTTTTTTCTCCCCCACACCCATCTTAAGATCATGGCTTGGCTGCACTGAGAAATTCCGCCCATAGAGGTTATGAACTGAATCAGTGATAAAGGGCAGCCTTGGCAGAGTCCCGCCCGCACTGGAAACAAAACCAACTGATTGCCAGCAATGTGGACCAAATTCTGACACTGGTCATACAGGGACGGCGACAAGGTCATTCAAAATTGACATATCTGGATTTTGTCCGGTGTTCATGTTCAAACTAAACATTAAATCAAATCAACTGAGAATTCCATAAGACAAATCCTTCCACGGATGTATACTGTTGACGATGTATTTTAGCGTTATCTACAGCTTTGCCGGCATGTGACATGCCTCAATAATTCTCAAGCACTGACAGTCGCACATGAAACAAACACACAGTGATGATTTGCTACTATCTGATACAGACGACTCGCTTCAAACCCGTCTCGCTTAGTCTGCTGTCCCGAAAATCAGCGTGACTTCAGCTCTGATAATTTGACGTTCAGCCACACTACGGCACACCCCCTGGCGTGGAAGCAGAGTTCAGAACATTCAGACAGAAACTTAGTCGAGTCTGTAGCTGCATATCAACTACTCAGATGACAGGCAGATTGAAAGTGACGCCTTAAAGCGCATAATTAGCTTTAATTGAGTTTTAATGATTTTAAAACTTTTAAATGGTGTAGCTAAAATCATAGCTCCTCGACAACTGAGTGATTAAGCGGGGGACACGACAACTGATTGGAGCCAAAAGTTCTGCCCTAACTGTAAATCGATGCAAAAAAATGCACTCAAAGTCGCCGGGGCTCGTAACACAATAAATGCAGACAACCTCTGGAGAAATGTTTTGCGTGGTTATCTTGTCAAGTGCGAGTGGGCGCAATCGCTGTCGGCCCGCTACATTATTATCCGGCTGTCAAAGGTGACGAAAAGGTGGGCGAATCAACAAATGCGATAAGTGCGACAAATATCTTAAAGCGGCGGCCCCCTCCTCCCCACCCCACCGCACAGCACCCAAAAGGAATGTCGAGATAACAACAGGAACCAGCAGAAATACGTCATCAGATACCTTAAAGTTTTATCTCAGTAAGCTTCATAAATATGTCTCATCCATCACTCCAAATCGATATTTTAGGTACGACTACCAGAACGTGGGCAACAATGAAACAACAACACAGCTGTTTCAAGAAAGATGTTGTGTTGACTGAAATGGTGATGCTAATAGTGAATGAAAATTTATCAGTAAAGACTTACCCACGACCCTCCAATGCCTGAAACCATATATCATTTCGAGTTTGGACAAAATTTGGGGAAAAGTACACCTTCAAATGGACATAATATCCAAAATAGACCTTTTGCATTGCTTGTACGTAATATGTAATATTAGAGCCTCTGGAGTATATGTCCAGTCATCAAATGTGACACTGAACACCCACACAAAGTTTCTCCACTCATAACATGATCAACAAGGATGGGTGAAGATCCAGAGTCACATTCAAATGATGGCCAGAGTGAAGCCATTGGACTACACTACAGTGGCTGAAACATGACAATGCATAGGCACTATCACTAATGCGTAGGCCTCCCACAGAATGGCACCGCCAAAACCGACTTGTAATGAACCACCGCAAGAAAATAATCACGCCAATAATTGAGCTATTTATTCCCTGCTTGCGATAAGATGTTAAACCACAAACCTGTATGGACTGTTGAGGCCCTACATGCAGTATATTGAAGTGTATCACTTCTATTAAACAATGTAAGGATAGCATGAGAGTCAAGGAAGAAGTGGATTTCTATAGAGGATGTGGGCGAGAAGGAAAAACAAAACAAAAAAGAGTGTGGATATTTTCAGAGGTAGCCTCGCCCCCGTTGAGTGTACCCAGATGACACAGACTGCAAGCTTTGCTATTTTGTTGTATTTTATTCACATGCCAGGATGAAATTATAAATGTTATGTATTGTTGTAAAATATAAGAAATGTTTATTGCATATACCTTACTTGTACGGCTTGGGGCTTTTTAGCTAAAAACCTGTAAATGTATATCTTGCATGTGTGAAATCTTATGTGCATTTTGACTGGCTGTAATCTATGACGTTGAGATACCGTACAATTGTTATTCAAATTTAAAATCATGGAAAAACTATCCGCCGACCCTTGACTCCTTATGAAAACTGGTTACAGAAGTGTGCACGCTGTGCGGGAGTCCAGTCTGGTTCGGCTGCATTGCTCAGTGTGTGGCAGACTTAAAAAACACCCACATCCACAACGGGTGCGACGCCCATCCTATGGTGTCAAAATTCAAATGGTAAGCAAAGCTGCATCGGGTTCTGTTGGATGCACAGATTAGCGTTAGCTGCTGATTGGATCGCTCAATGAAGCTGTCGACACAATGGTGGTGACGGCGGGTATTTGTTTTCTGTAATGTGGACAGATTGCCACATACACACAGTATAGTTTTAAAATGAAAATGCTACAACAGCCTTCATAGGCTAATTCCCCCCAATACTCGGCTCCAGTAAATAAAACACTTGGTTTCCTGTTCAATCATATAGCTCCGCCTCCTGCTGTCATGGAAACAAACTCTGTACTTGCCTTTGGTCCAGCCGTAGATGATGTTTGTTCCGTTTAGAGCTAGGTTTTATTTTGGTGACGTTTTTACTTCCTGTTTTTATTCCCACTTCCACTTTTTAGGCATATGCAAACCTTTTGTGAATAAAGGATCTTCTGCGATTGGTGCCTCTGAACCTTTTCGCGCTACCCGTCAACTGGTTCGCTGCCATACGCTCGTCAGCGGTAATGGAAAGGTATAGTGCGGTGTTTTGTTTTAAGTGACATTAGAGTCGGTTTCATTCTATACTTGAGACGGTTAATGTTCACGGGGGCCCGCGCCATTTAATCGTTCACTCAATCGTCATTAAATTTAAGAGGATGTTTTAAGAGTGTTTTATTGTTTTGAAACTTCTGCATAAACAAAAGTCTCTAAAACAGTTAATGAAGGTTTTACAACGGCACCAGTTTATCCTCCGGAACAAATGATTCCAAATATAATTGATCACAATGGGAAATTCTCTTCTTATTACCTCCAAGGTACCACTGTGTCTTATAAGCAAACGCACACACACTTACCAAACTTCCCAGTTTGGATGATGACGAGTTGTTCCTGTGTTTCAGCAGGCCGCATCCTTCCACGCTGGGGGTGTCCCGGTGGTTGCCGTGGATACGAGGACCGCCGGCCCCTTCCGAGGAGGAACGCAAGCGCCTCTCCAAGCGCATCACCTCATGGTAGGGGCTGACACTGCTGCACAACGAGGCTGAGTGAAGGGACAGGACAGCATTAAACATTTACTTTAAATGTAGTCTGGGTTTTTTTGTTTTGTTTTTTGTTTTTTTGGGGGTTTTTTTGTTTTGTATTGAAACTAAAAGGAAGAGAGTCCCAGTAATGTGGCAGAGGGTTGTATGGTTATAGTGAACAAAAGACAGCCACAACTAAAACAGGAATGTGAAAAGAAATGCTTTAGAGGGGGTAGACAGAGGCCTCCCTCCGCCAAAATTTGCATAATCAACAGCGTTTACAAAGTGTGTGTGTGTGTGTGTGTGTGTGTGTTGTGTGTGTGTGTGTGTGTGTGTGGGTGTGGGGCATGTGGACTTTTTATTTTCACGAGTTAAAAAGTGAGTGGGCGTAATTGTATGTGTGCCCTCATACTGAAGAAGCCTTTAGAATTTTAAAGGCATTCAGAAAAGGCAAAGAGGCCGAGACTCTGTTTTTACATTACACTAGAGCAGTGGTTCTTAACTTTGTTCCAGGTACCGAACCCAACCAGTTCATATGCACATTCACCGAACACTTCATTCGTGAAAAATAAAAATATGATTTTTTTTTTACCAATTCAAGACATAAAAAAAACACACATTTATTAAAAACAGAAAAAAGTAAACAATTAAGTATAAGTATAAAGTGTACATGTTTTAACTGTGCACAAAATCACCAGTGATGGCCAAGCGTGCGTGTCATAACTAATTGACATGTTGAGTCGGGTGTGTCTTAACCTCCATGGCAGAGGCTCAATCGAACCCCTGAGACCGATTCACCGAACCCAGGTTCAGAACCACTTCACTCGAGCAAGGGAATAAATTCAACAGAATTATTCGGATTACTTTTTGCCGGGTGGATTTCTTTTGGGCACCGCTGTGTTCTTGGGGGTTATCGCATCTACCTCATAGTTTTAAGGTTCTGAGTTTTACAACAGCATAAAAGGGGCTTCTGTTACCCCCTCAGACTGCCGAAACTTACTGCGTCGACTTTGTCCCTCCATTCCATGTCATTGGCTTTTATATGCAACACTTATTTTCTATTAAAAAAGCAAAACAGATGGGAAATGACTGCATTTAATAGAGAGTGTAAGCGGGCTTTTGATGCGACCTTAGAAAGTGTAAAATTGGTCTCTTTTCCAGGCAGTGTAAAAGGGGCTTCCTAATACGACCACAGAAGGCTGAAAATTGCCCTGTCAACCATTGTCCGTTTGAACGTTGCTTCATTTTAAACAAGATGACAAATATTGGCTTTTACAGGCAGCGTAAAAAGGGCTTCTAACGCTACCTTGAAGGCCGGACCTTGCCATATCAATGTTGTTCACCTCCATTCCATTCATACAGAAAAAGAGAAAAATATTTGGGTTTTTTCAGGCAGTGTATAAGAAGCTGAGAAGAAGTGTTTCGTACTGATGCAATTTATGTTTAAGAAAGGTAGGAAAATGTTGGGGCAGTCGCGTTCTGATATTGATATCGTTCTCGGTCCGATATCAGTCAAAAACACAGGATCGGATTACGTCAGTCTGTATCCAGAATCGCCCACATTCGCACTCGTATACAAGCAGCCCATTCCAGACTGTGCTCGTGCTCTTCTATCCAGTAGCGTGAATGTTAAAAAAAAAAAAAAGCTTCTAAAAGTACTGAAGGAAACTTGAATTGTTATTTTGCAATTCAAAGAGCTGAATGTGGTTTTATTGACTTCATTAGGATTATTTTGAATTTATTTTGCATTTATTTTATTCAAGTGCCGTTCATTCTCATGTTTGAGGTTAAATTCATGCAACCCAAATGTTTAATAAAGGGGTCATATTTTCCCATACCTAGTGTTGCTGACTTTCTTTGTTTGAATTGTTTCACTTGATCGAGTACTTCTGACATTTCATACTAAAAAAAATGAAAAAAAAAAAGTATAATTCCTTCTGTTATCGTCTCGGATCGATATCAGTATCGGACAGGATTGTACGTTGCCATATTGGGATGGAAAGTGAAAAATATTGCATCAGGACACACCGCGAGAAAATGTTTGTTATATTCCACAGTTGAAAAGGCTATTTTGCTTCCTACCTGTGTGCGGCTTCCTTAGGTGACAGGACCTGGGGTCACGACAGCCACAAAAGCTTCCTCTTTCGTGAACCGATAGAGTGTGCCTCGCCCTCCTCTCCGTCTGTTCCGGGTACGAGCGGCAGCCATCGCTTCTCGGCGCTCCGGCCTCACTCTCGCTGGTGGTCTCTGCATTCACCGAATCCCGTCCCGGCGTCCCTGTTCCGGCCCCGTCTTGCTCTTTTTCATGCTCTTTCCTCTTATCCGGCGATAGTTGCTGCGGGGACGGGCAGAGTACGGCGGTTTCCGGTTCCGAGAGGGAGACGGCCGTCTCGTAGTCGGTGTTGTTGGTCGTGCTGGAGTCGGGGAGTAATGGTTTCTCAATGCCAGATGGAGCAGGAGAGAAGAAAACCTGAGAAGATGGCATTGAACTTTATCTTGCATGGTCATGTTTAATATTGTCACTTGAGGTGTTTTTCCTTCCTTGTTCTCAGAAGAACATAAAATAAAACTCTTGAATTATGGCACACAGGTGTGAGATGTGAAGGGCAGACTTTTTATGTTCTTTTAATAAAAAAATAAATAAATAAAAAAAAAATATTTCTCATGCCCGGTGCTGGAGGCTTACACCAGATTTCACACATTTCACCGTAAATATTCCTCCTCCTCCTTTTTTTTTGTTCTTCGCATTCCAAGGGCACCTCGGGTCCAAGCTACCCTTTTCAAACATTCCCTTTTGCGTGTTTATAAGCTGAAATTTTTATTGAAAAGTGGAACCTCGAAAGGTAACATAGTGGGAATAGAGGTGAATACGTCTGAGTCACAGTTCAGAAGTTTGGCGTTCAAATCGTGGCTGTGGCCTTCCCATCCGGTGCAACTGCCAGTTCGTTGCTTATCATGAATTGACCCATCGCCGCCCCTAGAACATGCCGTTGGTGAGCCATGTATGGATGCACCACCAAAAAAAAAAAGCATCTTATCAGGATGTCACCGTTTAAAGAACAACGCTGTGTCATGATTTAAATTTCCGAGTTATGTATTTTGTGCTATTTCGGCTAACATAATATGTTGAAAGGTAAATCGTTGTGGGTATATAACAGGCAGGAATCAGGAAATCAAATGTCTGTTACGTGAGCCACAGGCCGAATAACATGTGTCACTGTATTTAATAAAAGGTTAACTTTCTCTGAGGTGTCTGTGGTATGTGGCCTCACACACAGACACACCACCAAGCAAGGCGGTGACGGATTGGGCGAGGGAGCCTGCCCGCCAGAGCTAGCCCCTCTGGTCGCAGGGCTTTGCATCGCCGGTAGGATATCTACAAACCACCAGAGGCTTTAAGCATATATACTTTTGCAGCTCAAACATACAGCATAGGGATATGTAGTCGACATATGCTCGACAAACAAATGCATCTAAGTGACAGTTGAAAGTTGAGCATGTTGAGCGTGTTTTCAATGCATTCAGTGCCCACAACGTCTGAGAGCTGACAAAGTCTCGGTTTGTCATAATTTTGAACCCTCATTTGATACACTTGGCGATTATTACGCTCCTCTGAAGTGTGTCAAATTAATAAGACATTTGAATTTGTACTTTACAGGGACGGGGGGGAAAAAAAAACCCAGCTACAACGCTGCATTTATTTCTCAATCGTAAAATTAAGAGAATTTTTAGTTATAGTTGACGTCATGGAATGGATTGTTGACTTCACGGTCAAAAGAATTGAGCAAAAGTTGCCATACTCATCTCAAAGCAGTACCTGTGAGGACGAGATGGTCCCGCTGAATGTCTCCGGGACCGATGGACCCTCAGCCGAGAACGAGTCGGCGGTCAGTGCAGACGCGAGGGCGGGTCCAGGACTGATAGCTGGCAGAGCTTCGGCCTCAGAGACGGAGTCCTCTGTGATGGGGATGAACTCAGAAGGGGTGATGGCCGTGGTACGGTCCTCTGATACCATGGGAGACTGGAGGGAGCTCTCCAGGCTGCCGTCGCTTGGACAAGACCCCGGGGTGAGCCCTCCGGCGCCCGGGGTGACGGGAGCAGTAACGACACACTTCTGATTGTCCCCTTGGGGTCTTTGGTGAGATAAGTGGTGGTGGGCCGAGAGGGACTTGGGCAGCAGGTGCTTCTTGTGTCGCGACGAGCGCTTGCTGCTGTTGCCGTATTCTTCGATGAAACCCGAGTCATCGCCCTCGTTGACCGCCGAGCCGCTGAGGCAGTTGATGAATACGTTCCGATTCGTCGCGGAAGAGGACGCCGACACCTTGTCGAAATCCTGCGTCTGAGAGCGCGTGATTTTCTTCTGCCGGTGGCTCCCGAAGCCAAAGGAATGTCGCGACTTTGGGTGAGCATCGCTTAAACCCGCCGACTGTGACGTCGTAATCGGCTGCTGGCTGTTCCCGTTGGCGTCAGTGGACTGCGCTGGCGGCGGGGGCGACGCGAGGTTCAAGTTGATGGGCTGGACACGAGGCTGGCTGCTTCGCTTTGCCGAGAAGCTGAGGGAAGGGGCGCGGAAGAGGCTCCGCCTTTTGCCGGTGCTCCCCGAGCTTGAATTTGTGCTGGAGGGAGATGAAGTGTGCACGCAGTTGCCGCCCGATGACGGCGACGACGGCAAGGAATCCTGCCGCTTGCTGTTGCTCCGGCGGAAGATGGGCAGGCGGGAAACCAGCGTGGAGCGACGCGAGCCGGATTCACCCATCGATAGGCTGAGAGGATGGTGGGGTAGTCTGCAGACCACGCAAAAAACATGAAGAGAGAGAAGCTTCACATTTCACATTTGGTTTTGAGTAAAAGGCGTATAATTCAAGAAGGGGTGGGCAACGGGTGATTGACCCCTCGTAAGTCAAGACGGTCTTTCTCTTATTGGTTGTTTTTTTCCTCAGCACAGTAGTTTCTTGTATATAAATTCGAGGCACAATATGGGGTCAGAGATGGCAGATTTTTTTTTTCAGATCACTCCAAATGCACTTCAAATGACAAGAAATGATTTTGTTTTTGGATGAATTTGTTGTGGTCTAACGTATGACTTCAAGACAACTTGGAATAGCAGACATGAAGCTCAGAATGCAGCATTAGATCAGCCTCCGATGCAAATTGCCCGCCACAAACCTTTGGGGTTAAGTCTTCCGCCATCTGTTAAATCCCACAAAAACGGAGGCCGCTGTATATTTCTAATTTGACGTAATCTGATGCAAAAGCCATCCACAAAGCAAACCAAAGCTACAAACATGGAGGTTTAGTCATGAGGACGTTGAAATCTTGATGTACATTGCATGCCTCAAGTGACACAATTCAGATGTTTTGCTCTCAAGCGGCATTTTTCAAATATGAATCTTGGCAGCATAAATGGGGTAGAGGAAATGCCAGGAATGGGAAATGTTAATATCCTTATCGGGCCTCTGCTAAATGTGGATAAAAATCCGGTATTTGACAGAGAGAGGGAGAGAGGAAACGAGAGCAACGGTGTAAATCCAGCCTAACATGTTGCGAATCAATCAGAAAGTTGTATTTTTCCCGCTGAAAAGATCTTGTCCAAAACTTGATTTGGCCCAGATATGCCACACGGTCACCGAGACGAGGCCATGTGGGTATGGCAGCAATCCCATTAACGGACAGACAAACACATTGCAGCAAACATTAACTTGCAGCTTACTTCAATGCCACGTTAACATTGAGCGATCACGGCAGAAGAAGCTTCGTGTAAACAAAAAGGGTCGACGGCGGGTTTAGCAACCTTTTATAATCACACCTTTAAAAGTTCAAATTACTCACATTTTCATTATTTGCTGCACGTCATCAGCCGGAGACACCCAAAGTAGCAAGGGAACAACTCTAAGTGTTTTGGTTTTAGATCTGGCTCTAATAAGCTTACTTTAACTCCCTGCGCTGAGGTGCTGAGGTGAGTGCGTCACCTCCTCCAAAAGCAAATTTGATCAAGCGACAAAGGAGTCATTTCTGACAGTCACAGCAACCCTTTTCAGGGGGCCCACATGCCAAACATTGACGGGGCATTCAAATGTCAAGTGGTATCGATGTCCAAAAGGTTTGGATCGATTTCAGCGGTTGCCATCCATTTATCAATCTATTTTCTGAAGCGCTTTGACTCACTCGCGGGTGAGCTGGTGCCAACCCCAACTGACTCTGGAGGATAAGGCAAGGTTCACCCTGAACTGGTTGCCAGTCAATCACAGAGCGGTTAACATGCTGGTCCCAAAAAAATATGAGGGTATTATTGTGATTGTGCAGTGCCAACACCTGACCTGGACAATGCACTCTGACCGAGCGCCTTGAGACAAGAAACATCCTCGATCTGATTAAACACAGATTACAGACAGATTGAGAGCGCGCAGGTTAGGAGTGGTGAACAACTACTAGTTGAAAGGCGCTCGACGTGAAACATTTAAAACGTGACAGATCGATGGTGTTCGTGATTTTACAGCATCAATGCACTTCTATTCGTTTAGAGGAGGGGTGTCAAACTCATTTTTGTCGGGGGCCACGTTGTAGTTAAGGTTTTCCTTGGAGGGCCGTTATGAATTTTGGGAAACCATATAAATGTTTAATCTGCTCCATATATTACATACACAGCGCACAAAAAAATTGATGAATAACTAGTTTTAAAATCAGAAGTCAAAAATAATAACTGTTATTGTGGATTACATCGGATGATATGAAATTTTGGTTCTGACTTTAGCAAGCATCACGGAACTTGACATGCTTGATTTGCTTTCGCGGGCTACCTAAAATGATGTGGCGGGCCAGATCTGGCCCCCGGGCCTTGACTTTGACACCTGTGGTTTAGAGTTTTGTTCATTTGTGCAAATTTCTGGTCCGGTCTTGAATCGAGCAGGCAGCATATCATGCATGAATAAGACAATTTGTCAGTCATTTAAAACGAGATCGTTATTTGACTCTGCAACATGTGAAAGTCATCGCGTTGTTTTTTTTTGGGGGGGGGGGGTTGGGGGTTTGTTTGTTTTTTTTCCAGATACCACAATGTGCCCTCCCCCCCTCCTCCACAACTGGAGCAAAATTCGGTAATTGTTTTTTACCCCCTTATTCTTACCGCTTGTTTTCCATTTCTGATCTAAGAAATTGTCTTTTCATGTTTCTTAGACGGGGTTGAAAGTGTAAAATGAATTTTGTCGCACTTCAGAGAACTGCAATGACAATAAATTTGATTTCCATTTCAATATTTTTTTGGTTTTGTATTTGTTTGGTGGAGTGACATTCAATTTTTGAATGTGAAATAAGTGCCTCGGTTGTGAAAACTGGTTCGAACCACAATCATAACACCAACGCCCGAGAACAGGGTGTGAAGTTCAACACACCCTGGACTGGCCGCTCGTCAAACACAGGGCACCCATAGGCAACCAATCACACAAACAGTCCCAAATGTGAACCGAACATACATGTTTTAGGAATGTGGGAGGAGTACCTTGTGAATAACTTCCAAAAGAGATTCCAACCCAGATCTCCTGACTGTGAGGCATTTATGCTAAACACAATTTCACCACGCTGCCTAAAGCAATGTTGGCAAAAATATATATCTATATCTTAATAAAAGTCCATTCATATATTTTGTGATTCGTGTGTTTGGTTTACCGTGTTGTTTTGAATCAACAGCTGGAGAACTTATGGGAGCACCCTGCCATGTTCCTAATGACACCATATGCTAACAGATTAGCTTCAAATCTTTTCCCCTCACTTCGGCTCACACACACGCAAACACAAACACACGCGCCGTCAATAAATCACAACCTGCTGCCTATTTAGCATAGATGAATGTCATTTTCAGTGTGTGTGCCTGTGCGTGCGTATGGGGTGTGACTGGAGCTTCCATAACAGGTTTGTGACTGCAACTCTTTGCAGACGGGACGCTTTCCTCGTGCTTAAATCTGACATAACTAACTTCATAAAACTACAGCAGAGTAAAACCCGCTTATCCTTTGAAGTCACTTGGAAGACACCTAACGGAAAGGGAACCACAAGATGTTTGCAGGGAAATACTGTCATCTTGTGGTCTTTAACAGGTTTTACCGGAATTACCGTATTTTCAGCACCTGCAAGCCGCCGCTTTCTTCCCACGCTTTGAACGCAGCGTCTTTTAACGTGACTTGGTTTATTTCGTCATTTCCACTGACGAGCTTCAAGCCGTCGATAGATTTACCCAAAATTTCGTCACACCTGACCGATGAAATGGCCAAACACATCACAGTGGACCCATGAATCAGTCGCAAGTCCGAGTGCCCACGAAGGCAACCTGAGAAACTTGGAAGTCTGTGTACGCTGCGGTGCGCAGCTGTGGCATAGCGAATATAGAGGAGACAGTATTGTACACTGTATAGTTTAGCACAAAGAGCTATTAAACAGTAACCATTCAACAGGATGTCGCGCTACCTTTTCTTCTCCATGCGTGTTCTTCTTCATTTCTTATCAATGTGCGAAACTGTGAGGAGAGATTCATAAACTGTGACAACAGATTAGTCAACTGTGGGAACAGAGGGAAGTCATAAATCAGCTAATTTACATTACAAGTGCCCCAAAGAGGTTTGCTTTGAGCCTTGCAGCATCCAAGGGTAAGTACTCAGGCAGGCCGTGAATCGGTGGTGACTCGAATTGAGTCGTGAATTGGTCATTAAAAACAAAAGCCCACTCGGCATTTTCAGATTCAAGTCGGAATGGGTCATATTTTATTGTCACAGAAAAATGTTTGGATGACACGTCTCAATGTGACGTATGTATGTGTGAAAAGCACGCTATTTTTGAGCACGATGCCCGGAAGAGTTTGTGCATGTATGGGAATATTTGGCTGGCAATTGGGCATAAAATGCAACTGTTAAAGCCATTAAAAAAAAATAAAAAAAATAAAAAAAATAAAAAAATTAAAAAAGGGTCGGTGTGAAAACCATGTGTGTGGCAAAAGCGGGAAAGTTCCAACATTCCTGACAGTTACTCCTATATGAATGAAAGTAATTATAAATACACCTTATATAGAGCTTTTCTGGATATGCAAATACACAAAAAATATATATAATTAACTACAATTGTAACAACATGTCTCTTTAAATGGTCAATAGTGTCGCGATAACTGAGCAGAGACGGTTTGCTCCACTTACTGCGGATTCATGAGTCGCATTAGTAAAGTCCGGCACTGAAACTCTAAACCCTTTTACCATACTGATGGACATATAAGTGGCATCTTTGAAAGCAGTGAGAGGGTTATGAAGAGAGGTCATCACATTTCGCGACAGTTGCATAAATATCTTTCTGTGTCACAATGATGTTCCTGCTGAGTTAGCCATTCCTTAGCCATTAATAGGTTACTTGAGTTAAGGGCGTTCCGTGCTTTGCAATTTTGGTGTGTGTGTGTGTGTGTGTGTGTGTGTGTGTGTGTGTGTGTGTGTGTGTGTTGGGCAAAGTTTCCACGCAAAAACACACACTAAGACAACAAAAGGAGCACTGAGTGTGCTGTGAAAGGGACGAAACAGCTAATACATCATCTGAAGTTGCTTTAAATATCTATACTGTTGATACTTCCCTGATTTGAGGCACTGTATTTGCAGTATCATACCACAAAAGCATCGTATTAATTAGCAGGCTCACATAATGACTACACAAGCAGCAGAGCGGCTTTCCATCCAGCAATAAAATTTAACAGTTACATATTGACAGGTATCGCAAAATCTTTTAGTTGCAGCCAAAATTAATTTGTGGCAGCCCATCGTAGATAAATGTGCAGTTGGGAAACATTGCTGCTGTAATTCTTTGATCAATTATGTCATTGAATGATCAGCAAATTTTAAAATATTACAGAATATAAAACAAAAAAACAATTTATAAATGCAAAAAAAATGTCTGATCTAATCCAGCTAATCAGATCTGTGTAAAGTCTATTGGAAAGTAGAATAGTAGATTAGTAGAGTAAAAGTGAAAGCTGTCAGAAATGTAAATTAAGTACAAATCCCTGAAAATTCTATTTAAGTAGGATAGCTAAGTATTTGTACTCTGTTACATTGCAAGACTGCCGAGGTATATGGAGGAAATTCTCAATATTTTTAAAGGGGGTGTGGGCGTGCACTATTCACGATTTTTTTCCTATTCACAGCACGTTTAGCCCCTCGCTCTATGGAGGAAATTCTCAATATTTTTAAAGGGGGGTGTGGGCATGTGCACTATTAACGATTTTTTTTCCTATTCACAGCACGTTTAGCCCCTCGCTCGCGAATAACGAGGGTTGACTGAACTGAATGTGACACCTATGACGAGGCCCCACGAGCAGACACAAGCGTCACCCTCATCCCGCCTGCCTGCACACCTGTCCGCCTCAACAAGCCCCTGGAGGCTGCCTTTGCACCTTGACACGGGCCGCTACTTCATTAAACCAAGAGCAAATCACAACGCTGAGTGCTTGAATCATGACAGAAGACATGCTCGGAGCGACCTTCCCGAGTGCAGCAACGCGTCGACGAAGACACACGTCACGGACACGGGTGATAACACGTCATGATCGCTGAAATATCATGTCACAGGTGTTCAGGGGAAATAACACAGACCGGTAAGGCTGCCATTCTAGCTAGCCGGCCGCTAGCTGTGGGTACCTTTCAACGGATTCCCAACGCCTCTCCGGCTCGGCTCATAGGGGCTGTGTGGAGCCTCCAAGCGGCGACGTGAACCAGGGGACGTCGGTAGAGTGCTGGTGGTGGTGCGGAGCTATCAGCTCACGATAACGTCGTCGTTCCACTTCACTGACGTGGAGCAGATCATTTCTTTTCCTCCTGCGCCTTAGTCGCCTTCCGCGTTGAAGTGACAGCTACGTGACGTCATATTTAGGCCCCGCCCCTACCCTTGAGCTTCACCATTAGCCTCGTGCAGGTAGAATATGATTGACAGGTGAGGATCCGCACCGAAGGACATCATCATAAAAATTTTATTTTTATCATTATAATGAAATGTAGAGTACACAGAAATAGTAATTATAATTGAAAATAAAATTTTACAATCCTAATTAAAGTTAGACGTATCATACTCTTTCCACTATACAAATAATACTCTAGGGGTCCGCCACATAGCATCAAGTCATTTTTCAATATTTCGATTTAAAAAGAAAATTTTTAGAACACATTTTTTTAATTGATATTGAGACAAAAACATAAACCACATGGGTGAACAAGCTACAGGGAAAAGACCGAATTAAAAAATGCCAATGTGTCTTCTAAAAATATTTTTTCTTGTTTTCCAAATATATTGAAAAATGACTGAAGCAATTATGCTATGTGGCCGAATATATCGTTGAATGAAATCAAAATCTAATAGATATCTAATGTAATTATATTAAAACTAATTAAATGAATTATATTCATGTACAAGATCATTGAATTAATCCATCCATCCATTTTCTGATCCGCTTTATTCTCACAAGGGTCACGGGGTGTGCTGCAGCCGATCCCAGCTGTCTTCGGGCAGTAGGCGGGAGACACCCTGAACCAATTGCAAGTCAATCGCAGGGCACACATAGACGAACACCCATCGGCGCTCACATTCAGACCAAGGGACAATTTTGAGTGATCAATCAGCCTGCTATGCATGTTTTTGGAATGTGGGAGGAAACAGCAGTACCCGGAGAAAACCCACACAGGCATGGGGAGAACATTCAAACTCCACACAGGGAGGCCAGAGCTAGAATCGAACTCAGTACCTCTGCATTGTGAGGTCAACGCGCTAACCACTGGAACACCGCCCTCATTGAATTATATGCAAATGTGATTGTATCATCCTCATATACAATATATTTAATATTTAAATAGAGGTAATGTAAGTGCAGTAACAGTAATAGAATGTAAAAAAGTTAATGCCTATAAAACTCCAGTAACAATGTCACTCTCCAAACAGCTTCCTATTCCTGCTAATTACATAGTGGATAAGTAGTTTTACTTTTGAAACTAACAGTATAGGAGTGTTTTGTTTTTTTTTTTTGTGTGTGTGTTTTTTTATGTTAAGGACAGAGACCATTTTTGTAAAAAAAAACAACAGTTTATTTAATGACGTCCTCACACATACACAAGAGTCCAGCCAAGAATAATTCTACTTACATTTACGTCATGTACCCACCACCTCCAGCAACTTGAGGAAAACGTGTAGAAAAGTAATTGTATTTGACATATTTAGTATTTTAATCGGAACCTTAATTACTAACAGTGCAATTTAGTGTCAGTCTAAGCAAAGCTAGCCATTTCTCGATCTAAATATGATTGCACTAGGTTAGCATACATGTGTAACTGACATGCAATGGTAAATGGGCTGTCACTTATACAGTGTAGCGCTTTTCTACCTCGGGTACACAAAGCGCTTTACACTGTTACCTCATTCACCTACTGATGACGCAGCATCAGGAGCAACTGGGGGTTCAGTATCTTGCTCAAGGACACTTTGACATGGTCGCAATGGCCAGGGATGGAAACACCAACCTCAAGTTTGGGGAAAACGTCCACTCTACCACTGAGCCATGCAGCGTGCTAGCTTTGCTTTGTATTATTAGCTTGCCTGTAATTTTGGTTTCAAATTCTTGACGATTTTATACTCAAAAACAAAATGGGGAAAACAAGGACATTCAGCTGTTGGTTACATTCCACCAGTGAAAGCTGCCCTGTCAGTCTTTAAATGCATAGAAGTCCCCCCCACCCCCAACCCATACCCACCCCCACCCTAGCGGGGATTCAAGGATTCAAGTTTAAACCCTTTGTGGAATAAAAAAAACAAAAAATGTTTGCATCATTTCTACGAGTTCAAATGTAAGAAGCTTAATAACATTTATTTGTAATTAATCAAGAATAGATACTTGTACACGTTGGAGAAAAAAACGGGGCCGCAAGTTGCCAGTATTGTTAAAAAAAGAGGGTGAATTTACAGCAGTCAGAACGTACATTACAACACACTTGCACAGAAAACAACCCTACTCTTGAGTGATATGTAAGTGGACGTTTCCAGTGTACAGTTTATGTATAAACACAGTATATAACCTGATGTCAAAAGAGAAGGCATGTCGAAGGCGAACACTGAAAGTGACTTAAACAAAATGGTGGATCTGCAAATGTTTAAATTAAAAAAAAAAAAAAAAAAAAAATCCAGTCTTGACAGCAAGGAGGTAGGTCATATTTTTAGGCAAAGCACCAGTGGTACCCTAACACCCTCCTGAAATAAAAACTAACCATGAAAGTGTCCGTGCTGCTCCCCAACATTTAATTTCCCCAAGGTGAACTATTGTTTTCATAGTGAGAGTAAACTGTGGTTACGACATTGAAGGAAGTCAACGGTGTGTTTTAAAAGGCTGCTTGGTAGCACCAGATTTTCAGGCTGCTTGTGTGTCGTGTTGACATTCTGATACATAAGTGAGTGATGTCCAGATGCTAAATGACTTAAGTGATGAACAGTGTTGTAAGAAAAAAAGAAAAAAAAGTGTTTTCGGTGGTCAAAACAAATTGACAACCGTTATCAAATGAACTCGAGTGCAATGTGATACAGATAGTGTTCCAAAACAATTGTGCAACTACGTCAAGTGATTGTTGAGCAAACCGAAATGAACCGAAAGGCACCGTGGCGCTAGCGCTAAAAGATTCGCTACGAAGGCTTTCTCCCATCAGGTCCACAAAGAAAAAGATTCAACTGCTACACATCACCACCAATCACGTGATCAACAATTAAACGTCAGGAGCAGGGCTCCCCCCCAAAAAACATACTGTACATAAATTAACCATTATTGGAATTAAGAACACAACAGACAACTGGCGACCCAGATAAAATTCACTCACGGGCCCAAATATGGGAAACCCTGCTCTGGAACAAGACGAGTGAAGCATTTTCATGTTAAACACAAAAGATTTAAAATGGCTGCTGACTAAATTAGCAGCTAAATTCAACATTAATTAAAAACCCAACTTTGGTAGGATATTTCATGTCATTGCCTAATACGCAGACACCGCCAACAACAGTCTTAGTGTTGATCAGAAATTATACCGACCGAGAGCCACGTCAACGAGCATAGGACTCTCGTCAAAATAAACCTGTCGGTCACACACGCCAAACTGTCATATTTGTGTGATCATAACATTCCAGCTCGGGTTTCACAGTTTGATGGTTGATAATTGAACTGAAGAAAACTAAAAACAAACCAAAAATAAACCCTGCTGAGCGAATGGCGTACCAAAGTGTCATATTTGTGCGAGTAAAATAGCAACTCGTTTTTTAGTTTGGACCAAACCCTGTTCAAATCTGCCTCAACTGGCCAGGAGAAAGCTCGAGGTAATAAAGCTCTAGTTAATAAAGCGCACTCAGTGATTCTTAACCGTCACCTTTGTGTTGATCGCAACATAGTAGAGCTCCGGTTTTACAGCTTGGATCAATCCAAGATGCCTCAACACGCCTGAGGGACGGCTGTGTAAGCGTAAGAATTTGTATTGTCCAGAACAGCAGCTCAGCTTTCACAATTCAGATCAAAGACCTTACTGGATCAAATATAACCGAATGGACCTTGTCTTAAGCGTGGTGGGGGACCTGCTCAAAATATATAATGCATGCTAGCAATCATGCTAGCAATCATACTAGCGCAGGTTTCACAATTTATACCAAAGAACCCAGTCAGATCTGCCTCAACGGGTTTGGAGTACCCAGGTAAGTAAGTAATTCATGCTCAAGTCTCATATTTGTGTTGACCATAACCTAGTTGTAAATAGCGTTTCACCGTGCGGACCGAAGACCTGACTGACAGAAGCCAACTCAACAGCCCTGGAGGACTCTAGTTTATGAAGCCTGTTCACCGTAACTCATTTCTAAAGTGTCATCATTACACCATACAAGCACAGGTACTACTCCACCTCAACAGGGCCAGGAGGACTCTTGACGAATCAAACCTGCTCCAAGTATGTCATATTTGTGTTGATCAGTCCAGGTTTCACAATTAGGACCAAAGACCCTGATTGAAGCCAGCTTGCCGTACTTGATTGAAAAAATGTCATATTGATGTTGAGCATAACATCCCAGCTCAAGTTTTACAATTTGGACCAAAGACCTTGATGGAATCCGCCCCAATGAGCTTGAAACCCATCAAAGAAACCCTCTTTCCACATGTCATGCTAAAAGTAAACTCGCTACGCTAAAAAGGTGCAAATAGAGCGCTGAGCGGGGCCAGTCACCCTCAGAAGGTGAGCCTCTTGGCGGTGACAAACTCCTCCAGCTGGACCTTGCCGCCGCCCATGAGGCCGAACGCCGGGTACATGATCCCCGAGCAGTCCACTTGCCTCTCGTAGAGACAGCGCATATTGTCGGCGTCGTAGAAATACACGCGGCCGGCGTCGTGATCGAGGCACACGCCCAGACGCTGCGGCATGGGCAGCGCCCGGTTGGCCGGGTCACCCGAGGCAGTTGCGGCGCTTGAAGACGAGGGCGACGTCTTGGGGATGAAGAGCTTGCCCATGCCCACAGTGAGAAGGGTGAAGGGTTGCGAGAGATCGTAGCACGCATCTTCGCTGCCGCTGTCGTGGCCGCTGTCGTGGTCGAACCTGGGGGAGAAAGTGTGGTTGGACACTTTGGAATGGTGCTGCTGTTTTGGTTAGCAAGGTTCACCATCGTTTTATTTTTTCAATTAACAATAGAGTCAATTATTTGTTGGCAATAGTTACAATTCCAATTCATGGATGACATTCATTCTGTTTTACTTTTAAAAAATTAAGGAAGTAAATCCTGTCAGCTCCAAAAGTATCGGAACAGCAAGGTCACTTCCTTCGTGTTTGCTGTATACTGGAGACATTTGGGTTTCAAATCAAAAGATGAATAAGCTCATCTGCGAAGCATGGTGGATGCAATGTCATGGCCTCTTCTGGAACAGGCTTACTAGTCTTTGATGATGATGTGACTCATTAACATCAGAAAGAATTCTGAATCCACAAAACCTTTTTGTCATGAAATTTACAGAAAAATGCCTCTAAACTAATCAGGAGAAGCTTCATCATAAAACAAGATAATGACAACAAAGGACTTCATCAGGAAGAAAAGGTCTTTGACCGGTCGAGTCAATCACCAGACCGTAACCCAATAGAGCGTGCATTTTTTTTCAAGAACTGAAAGAGGCTGCAGTAAAGGCCTGGAAAAGTATTTCAAATGAAGAATGCAACAGTTTGGTGAGGTCATTGGGGCGCAGGCTTGATGCAGTCACTCCAAGGGTTATGAATGTTGTTCTCTTCAAGTTACTTTAGTAATACAGTATCTGTTCCTTTTGCTCACTTGAAAAGTGGGGGACTTCAAACCTAAGGTCTTCCGTCCTGAGTTGTTTCACACATTTCGATGTAAACCCCATGAAATAAAACCTGCACTTCTGAACTTTTGTCTCGTTTTCATATTTTGATCTGAAACCCAAATATCTTCAGTATTCCACAAAAACAAAGGAATTGACTTTGCCCTGCCAAAACTTGGAGGGGACTCTATATCAATTTCTTCTTTTAATCTTGAAAATATTGTTCTTTGGAAATAGTTTGAAAAGTTGGAGCTAGCTTGTTCCCAGTAAAAAGAAAAAGTTACAGCAGTGGGTTACAATTATTATAGAATCCCCGAGCGATTACACGAGCAGCAAGAAAGGGCGTCTGTCTGAGAATATAAGCTCTTTACAACTTAATACTGCTTCTTACATCACAGGCTTAGCTAGGAGCTTCACTGGTAAAATTGTGTTGCATTGCAAACGTTGTAAGATGCAGCATGGTTGGAACGTACCTCGGGCTGCTTGTGTCTCTCGGGTTGTGAAACCACTCCAGCAGCTTTGTGTCCGAGGCCACGCCCACCTTGACCATATACGAGTGGGGCTCGACCTTGAAGGCCCAGTAGTGTCTGCAAAACATAAAACATTTGGAAGATTAGTAAACGTTTCATGGCTTGCCAAGCCTTTTAGGGTCACACATTTGCATGCATGATATCTCCGGAAACAGTGGACTCTGCGCCCCAACTCATAGCCAGATCTCAAAATGACACCTTTTTCGCAAAATAATACACTTAATTTTCCTGTCCAATCTGTTCATCCGATTAAATAATATATATTTGAGCAACTAGGGCAGATGTCCTCACATCCACCGTATTACCATCTGTGTTGTGGCGTACCTTCCCTGAGAGATGCCCGTGTCGCCGATGATGTAGTCCAGGCTGACGTAACTGCCCGTCTGCACACGATCCGCGGCGAGCAGGAAGGCCATGCCGGCCATGCTTTCCACTGTGTCCCGCCGCTTGTTGAGCACCAGACGCTCCGTGCTGAAGCCGCACTTGTCGTTGAACAAGAAGTCGAATGCTGTGAGCGGAGAGAGCCACAGGACAGAGTTGACAAATATGGATTGAGTCAGGAGGGATTTTATCATCATTCAGGTGTTGGTTGCTCAACAAAATACCCATCCGCACCCCGTTAAAAACCAAATAACAGACTTTTCTAATCATCTCCAATGCAGGACATTCACACTCTGTAAGTGTTAATAGTGGACACATGAGGGTGCTGTAACACAAAAGAATCACTCGGCTGCCTTACTAGCGTATTCAATCAAGAAATGTCATCACTGTGTACCGCTACAGTATACTTACTCCTCATTTGGATGGAATTAATTACATTCTATAAATAGTTAGTAGGCCAACATGATGACATCATAGCATAAATGCACCCTGTTCACTCAACCATTGCGTGGAAGGGCAATGTGTGGCCTACTCCAGGGAGGACACGCTCATTTATGTGGCTGGGAAGTCCTCATCACAAATGGGGCAGAATAATTCAAACGTCTGCCTCCACATAAGAGCGGAGCTAAATTTATAATGACATGATTTCAAGTTGACATCTGCTTGACAACAGTATAAAGGGAGTATGAACTGCATCCCGCCGCAAATATGGGGGGGGGAATTATATAAATGTTTAATTTTACAACGCATCTCCAATAAAATGTTTCGAATTGCCAAAACAATGAAATTTCTTTTAACCTCATTTTACAACATTAAACTTAAATGTAAATAGTTTACAGATGATTTTATTTTTTTAAATGCACCGAAAGTACACGTGGTGAAGACTCTCTATAACTTCCACTCACAACACAGACTAAGCTTAGCTCCTCCAGACAGACAACAACAAGGCTCAAAGTCAAGATTAATCACTGCGACATATCTCCTTGACGCCATTACTACTTTACTATTCGCCAGGGTTTTGGCTCCATCTTGTGGTAACAGAGCATGACAGAAAAATCTGGCAATTTTCCACCTTCTGAGGTAGTTCCCCCCCACATAGTCTCTAAAAGTCAACATTTGCCAGGCAGCATGGGACACATAACGGGCCGAAGAACTCGTCCAGGAAGTGTGTCCACCTCACAAGTTATTTTTACATTTCCTGAAAAATCCTCGCTGTTCCACATTGTTGAGTGGAATTGGTATGTCAAGTCCATCCAGCAAGTTGTGGCCTTTAAAGGTAACATCAGAAGCCCCACCTTCTTCAGGTTGTATGTAAAAGGCCCAGTTGGATAAATTCTGTCTCACCTTTGTGCGAAAGAGACTAATGATAGCCACATGGGCTTTACGTGTGTTCCCCGAGCTTCACCCTGGCTTGAAATTCCTCCTCATTACTGATGCTCAGTGAATTCTTCCACAATCCACAGCGCTCAGGAATGCAGATGCGCCAATCACAACATGTGTCCAAATCAAAGTCCTAGCAAAGTGACCGAACGTACCAATTGGCGTTGACTCTAAAGGACTATCAGCCAGAGTTGATATTGAACAACTTTTGTGAATCGAGGACTCTAATCAGGATCGTCTGGGACTTGCATTTGAGTTCCTCCGTTTGAAAAGAAGAAGCACCGATTGAAGACGTCGACTGCCACATTAGCATCTCACGCTAGCTGCCGACCGCGTGTTTCTTTAAATGGCCCCTCCTACACAATTCACCCACACACACTCTGGTTTGAGTCATGTGAAAGACAAAAAAAAAAAAAATACATCACCATGGTGATCTGCAAAACATCATTGTGCTTCATTGCCTCTATTGTGTCCTTCAGAATTGAAAACCTAAACAGCAAAGCATCTGTCATCTTTTCATCTGTCTCTGAGCACAAAAAGGGGGATTATCCGTTATTTCAGTCATTGCTTTGGCCATAAGAGGCAGGCAAGTCATAATAGTGATTTTAATCCTGTGCATAATTATATTTTGGGGATATGAATTAATAACAGTCGCCAGAACAACGTCAAAACAACACGGCCAGCATCTGTATTACAGGCCCTGTAATCAGTGGTGAGAAGTAAAAATACTTTGGATCAGTACTTCAAGTATTTTTTCCCCAAGTGTCCATACTTAAGTACAGTGTGTATACTTTTGCCACCACCATAATAATAAGAGCATGAATGCATATGATGTTTCTTACCGGGTGCAGGAGGTGTATGGAATGTGACCTCAGGGCTGTAAGGGCTGAACACGGAGTTCCTGCAGGTGCGCACCCTGAAGGCGTACAAGCTGTCGGCATCCAGGCCGGAAACGGTGGTGCTGGGAGCGTGAATGCACTCCATCGCTTGCCAGACGCCATCCTCTTGGGTCGGGGACCGCCTCGGCCCACCCAATCTGAGCACAGGGAATGTTTAGCTCTACGATGTGCTTTAATGCCGATGACGTCGATGCGTTCAGTAAGCATGCGGGCCCACCTGCGGTACTCCAGCAAGTGCTGGTCTGTGGGTTGGTGGTCGTCGGACAGCCTCCAGAAGATGGTGGCCTCATTATAGACTCTGCTCTTGGACAGGTCAATCATTGGTGCGTCCGGAACTAAATAGGGGGGAGAGACAAATCACTAGATTAGAGGGAGGGGAGCTTTAAATAAAGTCACAGGGGGAGAAATACTGAAGAAATAAATCTTTTTGAGGGTGGATTTACACTACCAGGTGCAAGTGGCCATTTCCCACTTTGTGTCTAATTTTTGGAGTTAGAACTTGTAGACCCAACTCAGCAAACCTTATTTCAACAAGCACCAAAGGATCAACACAGACAGGGACTGTTAAAATAAGAATGTACACCTAGCGGAAGTGTGACCCAATTCCCTCCTCCCGCTTAATGTTGGCAAATGGGACAAATGGTTTCTAGTTTCTCCAAAAGTCTCTGAATATGTCACCTTTGACCCTAGAGCTTGCACTTTACATCTGGCATTTATGGTGTAAGAATACTTGAATGCAAAACTCTCAAAGTGATTGACAAATGTCATGAGTACTGGATCTCATTGATTCACTAATACTGCTCTAGTAAAGCCTTTAATCCTGCTCAGCAGTGTACTTTGCGCTATTGTGTGAAATTAGGTAATTGTAAGTGCAAAAGTGGACCATCTTGTATGACACAGCCCCACAAAAAAAACTACTAGTACTACTACTACTACGACTACTATTTTAATGGCAGATATCCAAGCACAAACAATGCCATCAAATTTTCCCCCATGTTCATCGCCAGTTTGCGAGAAAAAAAAAATGGTGCAGTGGGCCATCAGACATTTAAAGACTGTATTGATGAACAGAGGCTGCGAGCAGACGGAGTGCGGCATGGCCAAGTTTTACTGCAGGGGGTACAGATTTTTCTCTTTTCCATCATCATTTGTTCTTGCTGCACATAGGAAATCAACTTATTTTTCACTATTGAGCCAGGATTTCCGTAAATTAGTGTCCATGTAAGAGACACATTAAACATCTCACTTTATACCTAGTTAACTGGTGTTCTAACTAATATCCAGCAGTTCTCTAGGTAGCTATTAAATCTTCTCCTCGCGAATAATTTACATACTGAGGTGTAAACAAACCAACCCAAAAACTTCCTTGTTAAGAAACTGCAAGAAATGTGAACAAAATCAGTAGTCAAGTAGGTTGAGGTTTGTTCGGGGCCAACCTTAAGCATTATGTTGAAACATTCTGTCCAACGTAATGACATTTCCATACGAATTGCTTAACAGCTCACTGTTTACATTTGGCTGACATGCTAATAAGAGCAAAACTCTTGACAGAGTTGATTACAGTGTGTTTAGTAGCAATACAAAGTGAAACACTCGAGTGTCAGCCATGCTCGCAGATATCGGTGTGGACACTGAAGGAATAATGTAGACTGTTTTGACATTGCTGACATAGCAAACACAGCTGAGGCCTGTTTGGCCCACCCCCAGTCTCCTTTTGAGTGGACACAAGTCAACAGCTGACAATTGCCTCTGACCGCGAGCAGAGTGACAACCAGACTGCAGAATCGTCATTTTTAGTTTGCTTCAAACCCCACTTTCACCAGAGATAAATCATATAAATCGCAAAGGCTTCATGTGTATAGAACACTTTCCACCCTAAAGGAATCGGTGTGTTGGGTTCAAAGCAGGGATGAGGAAAGCTTCTATGCCCAGGGACCACATTTGAGTTAAACTGACAGGAGGTGCCAGGTCACTTTATATAAAGTTAGAAAAAATAATAATATTTAAATGAATATAGAATATATCAAATGTACTTTTTATAAAAAATAAAATCATTTTAATTTTGTTTTACAATTGATTTGAATTGATTAATTCGCCAATTTAATAAAATATAGCAATGTCAATTTTTTTTATGATTCACATTGGAAATGTTTGCATTTAAGAAGTTAATTTTAATACAGTTTGAATTTATATTATAATTGACCAATTATTTTTATAAATGTGTACATAATAGATGTACATATGTTTTTACAAAAAAAAAAACTGAATGAATTATACAACCATTTGCTGAGAAATGATGAGAAATTTACAATAAAACAGCTAGATAAATGCGACAAATATTAAAAAATGCTCAGTGGGACAGATTAAAAGGACGGAGCGGACCAAATGCGGCGTGGCTCCCGGCCATACTTTTTCCATCACTGGTTTGATGTGTCTTTTGTTTGTTTGAGTTTCCTGTGAGGGCTAATGGCGCTCTGAGCAGAGGAAATGGGGCTCCCATGGCATCAATGCCCTGCACTAATTTGATTGAAGTGTTGGCACTTCGTGAGCCATCAAAGTATCTCCTGGCCAAGTTTTGAAACCCTAAAAACAGTGTCTGTGTGCACTCATGTCCCACAAAACGCAAGTGTGTCATTATGTGGTTTTGGAAAAAAAAGAATTGTTCACAAAGGGAAGTTTATTTTTGTAACTTTAAGGGCAGGTCTCATGCCGTAATGGAAGGTAGATCAGTCATCACAATGAGGACGCTTGATGAGTTTAAGCCATCTCTTTGTACTGGAGTACAGTTTGTTTTTCCAGAAGCCATTCATTTTGGTCAGAAGCCTCCCTTTTCACAGAAGGAAACCGATGGTGATTGTAATTATCTCAGTTGGTGAACGCTGTTCAGTGTTAGTGTGCTGAGCCCATTTGAAGTCTGTTGCTAACCAAACGAATAGCACATAAGGCGCATAACAGTTTCTCAGATAAAGTATGGATATTGAATACCCCAGGTGTAGGGACAAAAGAAAAAGGAAAGGGAAAAAAGTTAACCGCCGAATGTTCATTAGTTAGCCAGTCATTTAAATCAAGTGGCTCATGGACAGAAGTTAGCAAGTCACTATCAATTGATTGGATCACTCAAAAATTACTCCACCACTTTCCAAGAACATGTGGTGTGGGGCACAGATCTAGGTAACAATTGTTCCTCTTGTTAACACAAGGGCATTGATTAACATTACATAAACCTGGTAACACCATTTCTAGGGCAACAAATGTATTGACTTTACAGACACCACTCTTGCCACGATTCTTGGACGATGATGTCGGATGGATGAAAGGTATGAAATGAGCTTGGTGAAAATACACCATGTCTTTTCTCCTCCCTTATCAGCTCGTTAACCAGGCCTCAAGATTGATCCAGCATTGATTCTCTGTGTCTCACTTACACTTTTGATATCTGCACTTCCCTCCACAAGCCAGTGTTGTGTGTGTCATGTGATGTTACCTCCGCCGAAGCACAATTCTTTGAGGAGGGTCTCCTCTCTGGACGTGTCCAGCACGAACTCATCAAAACAAGGGTCAGCTGACGGGTGGAAAGTCCTGAGAGACTCAGTGGCCTTCTGTATTCTGAACACACACACAGACACACACACAATCTTGTACTGGTGGATATTTGAGACATTTTCATTTTTCTCTTTCATAAAAGAGGATTAAGAATAACGCTAGAGTGGACAGTATCATGATCCCGCAAGTGCAAAGGTTCCATTCTTATCCAAAGCCGCTAATGGAGATCAATTAGCCAGCTTAAGGTTGCTTTGGTAACTTGCCTGCACATGGTTCGGCATGTTTATGTCCTTCAGCCTATCAAACAATACATATGTAACTTTAAAGTGTTTCATATATATACCTGACATGCAGCTGCTTGGCAGTCTGTACAAAGCACGATTGGTCGGTCTCTTTGAGTACCTCCTGAGCATAGCCCACCAGGCCACTGTTCTCCAGCATACCCTGGTACTCCTCCATCTGGGAATATACCAATAAAAGCACATTAAAACTGGAAACAGATTTTTGGACTGCGAGTATCAATTTGAGGACACAGAAGAGGGATTGAAAAAATAATCATTAAAAAGTCCAAAAATAAAATTCTTTAAATTATAAATAATAATAATTATTAAGACATTAAGAAAAAGTGCTTTAAAGTACCGTAACTTCAATAATACAAAATTTTATGTATATATTTTTTTTAATAACGCAAGAAAAAAGGAGAATACAATACATAAGAACATCACATTCTAAAAATGTAAATTGAAGCACTATCAAAAGAAAATAAATGTCAAAAATAAATAAGTACAAATAAAAAGAAGTACGAAATAATTAGCAAAAGATAAAAATCAAGAACGAGCAAGAATGCCCAAACACCCACCTGTGATTTGAGCTGTCCCATGCGTCGGCTTCGAGATTGCTCAATGGATTTGAGCATCTCCGACTTTCTCTCCTGCAGGGTCTCGAACAGGCGGTCAAAGTGCTCAGTGGCCTGCCTCTCTGCCAGCTGCCCATTTTCCTTTGAGACAAACATGAAATATTACAAACGCTCTCCCGGGATTTGTGATACCGTGTGCCCCTGCTTGCATTTTATTCCAATTCAAGCACATCTCAGGATTCACAAGACAACCCAAAAATGTACCCCATCAGGCATCATCTCAATGTCGACAGTACATGCCATCGTCATTGTTGACCAACAGAACAAATCAAGAATTGGTAAGCGTCTAAATTGGCATTAAATCTGAGGGAAAACTGACATCCACGCAGCGACCATTTAATCTCAATTACAACCAAGATGTGTTTTATGACACTGAGGCTTTGTTTGCGCAGAGGCTGTTGTTGTCTTTGAACAACAGCTGCTACTCAAAAAAAGAACCAAAAAAAACCTTCACCCAGTGTGTCAAGATAAAAAGTACACACTCTGACGTCGGCTCAAACCCTGACGTAGCTTAGAGGAACGGAATCTGCAGTTTCCTCGTTTGTGTGGTTTAGCTAACGAACCTGAATGCCCTTAACACATACAGTAGACAATTACACACTGCTATTCAACTCAACGGACAGGTTTTCAAACAAGCCACAGAGACCGTATACTTTGTTCCCTTTAAAAGATGTTGTGTGCTATAAAACAATTGCGCATTCTGTTCTTTATTCTGTGTCAATGCAATTTAGACATACCACGGACAGAAAAAGAAATGTGGGGAAAATGGCATATTTCAAGGCAGTGTAAGATGGGCTTCTGATACTACCTGCCAAAGTATAAAATTGCCAAGTTGACTTTTCCCCCCTCGCGCCAATTACATGTCAGAGCAATTTACTGTACATATAACAGCAACTAACTAAACAACTTAACTAGAAAGCTTTGTAAGTAGAGACGCGTTTCCCATGTAAATGTCCTAATCTGTTCCAAGCCCCCCCAAAATTCAGACATGTTTTGTAAAGCATAAAAATGCATCAAAATATGTAACAAATACATGTTACAATTAGATTAGTGCACAATAAATCAGAGTTGTGCATAATGTAAAAATCAGAATCGAGGAAAGAATAAAAATGGTCATTTCATTTTTAACTGCGTCATCGTTTTTTTGCCCTCTTTATTTCATGTTCTCTCTCAGAAGTGGTTTTTGCCTGGCGTTTTGTAAAGAACTGATCCAAGGACGTTTGCTTTTGTCGGCTTTTAACAATCCTTCGAAAATGTCCAAGGCAAACATCAGCATAGTGAGCGGCCGCCAGACTGGTGAACACTTGTTCTGGATGATTCACATTTATGTAGAACTATTGGAACGCCTCATGGCCCGAGGGGTGAATGACGAGGATGCTGCATAGACATATATCTACCTATCAACATGCATCGAGAGCTTCGGGAGAGGTCCCTCTTAGCCAATGGGATGCCAGGAAGATGCTAAGTAATAGCCAATGGCAGAGCAGCTGTGAGTATGTTGCGTTCAGGAAAAACGGAGCTGCGAGTAGCACCCCATCCTGTATTTTTACCTTTCATATCTTGAAATTTCTTTCGTAACAAGAGGCAATATTTTCCTGTTGAGGCGTTTCGTAACTTGAAATTTTTGTATGAAGAGACGTTCGTAAGTAGAGGTACCACTGTAATGGCAGCATTTTTTATTGTTGCCTTTTACATGCAGTGTAAAAAGACTAATTCCAACTCAGTTGACCCAAAAAAAATGGAAATAAAAATTCCAATCGTGATCATCAGTGAGCCATCTTCCCAGGCCTTCGCTAGGGATTTGAAGTTGTGTACCTCTGTCTGACTAATGAGCTGCTCCAGTCCAGTAATTTGAGTCTTGACTTGGTCCTCTTTGCTGATGAGGTAATGGATACTCTTGGCCAGCTTCTCCTGTGAGAGGACAGATGAAGGTACAGCAGATTTTTAGGTGGGCTCCATTCACACACACAAAAAAACCACACTCACCAGACACTTGAATAGGTACAATACACTCGCCCACTATGACGGCGACCATTATCTGCATAGAGAATGTCTAACTCGTATGGAACACAATGACATGATGCTGCATTTATGCTCCCAGCGACCGAAACCTGAAACGGGGCCAACTGATACACCTCAACCACAGTTTGACAACACAATGAACACACACAGTCATGGGGGGGGGGGAAACAAATGCTTGCATCCAATATTGACAACACGCCTGCACTCAGCCGATTGAATTTCACACAGATTGTGCCCGGATGACAAGTCTCAACTCATCTCGTGTTCAGAGCGCTCTGCAGCTCAGTCTTCTCCAGCTACAAATATCATTCTGTTTTTTTCCACACCCCCATTATATCGCAAATGTTTTAAGAGTCATCATTTTTCGTGGATTTTACAGCATATTTACTGCAATGCCCTCACATGTGGGAAAGGAGAGCCTTTTATTAAATGGACACTAAAACAAACACAATGAACACAGCTCATGCCAAGACACTCAAATAAAGATTTGCCAACATCACATGCCGCCACACAAGGCGTCACAATCTAACAAAGACACTGCAACAGCTGCAGTATTTTCCATTCATTTCATACAGGCATTTTTTTTGTGTGTGTGTTCAATTACATTTAATAAGTTCGAATACGTTCATGTGTTTCAATCATCTGGGATGGGTAATGCCATTCATTGCCGCAAGAATGGGACGCATTTTCCCTTCCCCTGGTGTTAAACCATTAACCGGTTCTTCGGGTTCTTTTTAATTGTTAAATTCTTTGAAGTGATGCTAACGGTTAGCATCACTTCAAAGAATTTAATGAATGGTTAGCAGCTAACCACTCATTAAAAGGAAAACATTCACGTGACACAAAGCCTCGTGCGTGTTCCGTACCTTGAGAATTTTGTAGGCGTTGCTCATGGACGTGACCTTGTGGTTGGCGTGGGTGCCTCCAAGCTTGCACAGGTGGCAGACTGGCCGCCGGCACACCTCGCAGTACATGTTCACCTTCTCCATTTCGTGCTCAGGACACATTAGAACCTATGACATTAGCCAGAACAGGACTATGTAAAAAAGGAATAAAAGTGTTTTTTAGAGCACAACAAAACTATTAAAAAGAAGTTGAAGTGAAACAGGAAGAAGCCCGAGACTTCCAGAAAGCATCGAGACAAGTTTCCTGATTCTTATCTTCAAATAGAAACTGAATTCAGAATTCAACAAACACCAAAAAAGAGAAGTGATTTGTTGCATCTACGTTGCCTTTAGGAGAAACAAAAAGGAGAAACAAGCCTCTGAACTCCATTCAAAGGATGAAATACAGCCATCCATCTACCAATTTTCTGTACCGCTTATGAGCAATTTCTCTCAAAATAACAGGAAGAAGCACGTGTTGTGTGTAGTCTCAAAATTCCCGTCATCTCGCCTCCATTGTGGCATTAAAGGTGATTGAACTGCTACGACATACCACACATTCCAAAAAGAAAATAACATGCACAAACAGTTTTGTCATAAATATCCTTGATATACACTTTACATAAGTCTTGCTGTGAGTAGTTAATAAAATTAAATAAAAATCCTAAATCCTGTATTCCACAAAACTATTTAAAAATCATCTTTCAAACAATATCCTGAAAAATAAATGGCTGACAGATCATTTTATTTTCTGTGGACACTACAGAAATGGTACAAAAGCATGAATAGTTTTTTTTTTCAAGTGAGTGTAGGCTCAACATCAATCCATCCATTAAAAAGCAAATGTATGTCGGTGTGAAGGTTCAGCGTAATGCGCCAACGCGAACAACAGTCAAGTAAGAGTGTTAAAGTAATCAATCAGTGGTACTTGCCTTGGGCCTAAAGTTGGTGGTGGGTCCCACATACTCGTGCTGGGCCTTGGGCGTGCCCCATGGGTGGTGCATCTTGAAGCACTCATTGCAGTAGCTGGCTTTGCAGTCCATGCAGCTCTTGGTGGCCTCCTGCTGCTGCGGCGGCTTGCAGATGTTGCACATGATGGCGACGGCGGCGCGGGCCGCCTGGCGGTAGCGCTCCACGATGCTCTCCAGAGTGAAGTTGCGAAAGAGCATGCTGATGCCGCGCTCGCCCAGGTCGATGTCGTGCTGGCAGCCCGGGCACGCGATGGTGGTGACCCGAGGGGTCACGGATCCTCTGCGCCAGCCCGGGGATGAGATGGAGCCTGGGGAGGGAGAACGCGGGGTGAGCAATGCATGTAGAATTTGGCATTCGCAGCCTTTGGATTCTATTTGGGATTTTGTCTGAGGCCCTACTTGTGAATACCGTATTTCCTTAAGCATTTGCCATTCCACTCAAGAAGTCATCTGCTTCAAAAAGATACCGTCCCTTTTGCACTCAGGAAAAAAGGGATTGTAACCAATTCTCAATTGATAGATGTTATTTTGTCACACGTGTTAACATTAAAAAAGGTCACTTCCAAGCCTATTTAGTTGCCTCAGTTGCTAACCAAAACCACAGCACCTACTCAGGCATTTAATCCATCTCAAATTATGTTGGAAAGGCCTTCCATACATCTAACTTGCCTAACTGTCGTTGAGTAAATGAACAGACCGTTAATTGGAGAAATACAGCAATTAGGCTGCGGAAATGCCTCTAGTGGCCACCTGCAAAAATCAAATACCAGCTACAATCTATAACAAAAAGTGTTAAGACTTTATGATTGTCATTTGTATTGCAAACGACAACCATAATAATACATGTTAAATCAACATCATTATTGAAATTGTATCGCAAAAAGTTTTGAAACATTTCTACATTCAATCTGATTAAATTGCACCTAATGTGGCGTCAATGTCATTCTCAGTAGCGGCAGGTAAAAAAAAAAAAAAAAGACTCAAAATAGTAGCACGCTCACAAATAGGGCCTCAGCATAGTCTCCTCACTTTGTGCTAAACATATCAACAATGACTATTGAACTACTGCTCCTTACATACGTGGATGCATGTAACGGAAAGCACAACACAATGCATCATATCAAGCAGCTGTCACTCATGGGTCCGGGAGGCGGCTCTATCCTAGGACCACTGTGGCTCATTGAGAAAGACGACAAGCAGTCATGTGTGGAGGGAGAAAAAGGGATTTTGCCATCTTTTTTTTTTTTTTTTCATGTTGCAAGTCATTCAACATTCACAACAGTGGCAGACAATAAGTGTTGATAGTGAGCTGGACCAGGCAGGAGACAATCAGGTGCTTGAATGACATTAAAGACAGCGGAAATGCCACAAGTGGTAAACTTCACCAAAACCTTGTGAGACTTCGGCTCAGTTAGGATCTCCAAGACTCGACCATCGGCGTGTTTTACTTTGTTTTGTGTGATGCCACCAAAGATTGATAAACCTCGGTACAATATAAAATTTCATGTCTATTTCTTGGGTTTTTTTTCCTTTGGTGAAACTTGATACAAGAACAACTTGGAAGTCAACCACTGTAACGAAAGGACTCTTCCACTCTATTAGATCATTTATCCATTTGTCCAGTTGGCACATAAACACTTAGTGTATTTCCACGTATGCAACACAAAGTCCTCCTAAAGCAACAGTGCTTTCAAGAGTTAGTGTTATTTTTTTTTCTCCACAATACTGTGCTTGTTACTGATGCAGCAGCATCCTAACAAGTGAGGCGCACACACATCACGGGCACAAAAGCAGTGAGGACGAACGCAAAAAAACAAAACAAAAAAACACTCAGCACGCTCAAAGCCACCAAACTCAATTGACGACTCGTCAAACATACAAAAAATAAAAACACATTGACAAGAATATTGCTTCACGTTTTTGGGGAGAAGTGAGGAGTGCTGGATTTATCTCAGTGTTTCCGCTTCGTTTCCGTGGACCTGAAAATTCAATCAAACACTCCTCAGGTGAGGAAAAAACACTGTGGAAAGCCCAAAGGGGAAGTGGGGGGAGTGGGGGTGAAGCAGGGGCAAGAGCGACAAATGGGTGAACTACATTGAGTCCGCATATATGCCGCGCTGTGGTGAGCAAGGTGATGAAGCGTGACAAGTTGAGACCTCGGGGCTAACGCGGCTGCCAGAGTGCAACCGCTGATCATGACAAACTCAATATGATGATGAGCATGATGTGGCTCCCGTACGACAAGTGACCCAGGCCCTGCAGCGACAGTGCTTCTGCTTGTACCATCCGAGGGATGATTCTCAGATTTTTTTTTTTTTTTTTTTTTTTTTTTTTAAACGTGTCAGCCAGAAGAAACCAGGACACAAATAATCTTGTCAGTGTCAAAAGGATGGGAGAATCTTGGAATGTTCTGAACTCCTGCTTCCATACCAACTGAGCAAGGATTTCTGCATGGGTTGAACTCAGTTTCTCATAGCTGGCGTCATGTTGATCTTCAGACTGTAAACTTTACTCACAAAAAGTTGGGAACAATGGCATTTTTTTAATGCAGTTGGATTTTTTTTATGGAGGACTATAAATGTATTTATTTAATCAAAGTAACAGAAAATAAAAACTATGCCACGAAGAATGCTCACAAGCATCCAAAGCGCTATTAAATATTGGCAGCTCCTTCTCGCAAACAAAGCCTCACTTGTCTTCTGTTTTGTTGTGCTTGGCTTGCAGTGGCGATTCCTCCTCAGCAAGTGCTAAACAATTAGCGGCCGATTTTGTGTATTTAATGCCACGAGGTGCCGATAAGGCGAGCGAGTAGAAGGCCCTGAAGGCAATGCTGTCAAGAACAGCAAGAAGAGGGGCGAGCCCAAACGGCGTCGGTGTGTTAGTTCAGGCTTCTCTGTTTCAACACAAACCCGCTGTTGTTATTCGAGTCAGACTTTTCCTGTCATTCATTTTGACAAGAGTAAAGAGGATGGATGTAGTCGTTGGCATTGAAACCATTAACAGATTTTTTACTTAAGCTTGAACCTGATCTCCAACTGTTCAATTCGATCATCCTAGCTACAGAGAAGAAAGAAATTGCTTCTTCTCCTTCACTTGTTTGGCAGTTGTCAACCACTCTGTAATGCAATACTGCCACCTACATAACTGGAGTGAAATATTAGCAACCGTGACTAATGACTACGTTTAGAAGCTCGGCATCCCCCCCTCCCAAACGTCATTTAACAGCTGTATTTCTTGTGCTCTAGTCCTGATATTCTTTCTTCTGCTATGCAATGAAAAAACATGGAAATGGAGTTTTTATGGGTGATTCACATTTATGTAAAACTATCGGAACACCTCCTTGGCAAATGACGAGGATGCTGCATCGACACCTATCTACACACATACGGTAGAATTCCCTCTTAGCCAATGGGATGCCAGGATGATGCTCGGCAATAACAAATGACAGAGCAGCTATAATTTGTTGCGTTCAGGATATTCGGAGCTGCGAGGAGCAGGCCATCCTGTATTTTTACCTTTCGTATCTTGAAATTTCTTTCATAACAAGAGGCAATATTTTCCTGTTGAGACATTTTGTAGCTTGAAAATTTCGTATGAAGAGACGTTCGTAAGTAGAGGTACCACTGTACTCCATTACTGCCGTACTTAGTGTTTTGCATTGGATTCATATCTTTTGGCCTATAAGTGTTTTTGATACAAATATTGACTATAATTATGACATTTCACGAAATTAGCTCTACTTGCGTATTCACCACAGAAACGGGACCTCACAAGCAGGGGACCTCGTGTATCTTATATTTCTGTTGGGCCTTGGCGGATATCTATGCTATACAAATATCTGGCATCATTTTAAGGTTAATTTAACTTTCTCTTTTAATGCAACAGCTACAAACTGAGTACCCAAAAATAAATAAATAAATAAATAAACAAATAAAATCAGTTTATCTAGTGTGAGTTTGCAGTTGTGTTTGGTAGTGACAAGGCTTAAAAAAAAAAGGGAGGAGGTGAGGACTAGCGGAGAAGTAGCACTCAAGCTGGGGTTTCACAAAGAAGGTCCACTGGCGACACTGTACTCACTACTACAGTTACTCAACAGCCGGAGGCCGCGTCTACCTCGACTTCCGAGCGACCTTCGCACTGTGGCTGCAAGCAATCAACAAAAAGAGGTGACAATAAAATATGAAACAAACGCATGAACGTGTGTGTGTGATCATGTCATCATGAAAACAAGTCAGCGATAAGAAAGTGGTTCAGAAATAAACATCAAAGTGTAACAGCTTGGAGCGGAACACAAGAACAGATGATTGAACATAGTGAGTAAGCAGAGAGCAGAACGGTGCATCCAGGAAGTATTCACAGTGGCATTTCGCTCGCACTTTTTTGTTAACGTTAGACCTGAAAAAGGAATCAACTGATTTGGAAAACGGTAGTGCACCAAAGGTCACAATCCAACCTGATTGAGCACGAGTGATATTGCCCAGCGAAATAGGGGAAAGCAGCCCAAAAATAGGTGGTCCAAGCTTGTGGCATCATATTTAAAAAAATAAAATAAAAAAAAAGACTTGAGCCTGTAATTCAGAAACACAGTGAATACCTGTAAAATGTATGTGATCTTATTTTTTTTGGGGGGGGGGTGTAATTTTTCTTCATGTGGTCATTATGGAGGTTGAGGAATTTTGAAGAAATAAATGAACTGATTCCATTTTGGAAGGCACTTGTAAGATAAAATGTAGGAAAAGTGAAACCCTGAGAATACTTTCCGGATGCAACAGTAAATACTCAGAGGACATTTCACTGGGTACACCTGAAGACTTAAAAGGTACAAGTATACCCAATGAGGTGTCCGCGCAAAGTCCATGCAAAAACAAGGATCACTTAGGTACAAAAGAAATGCATTACTTCCTTGCTGTTAATATTGTGATTTAAGTGATTGTGAGACACACACCTGTGGCACTGGACCCCCAACTGAAGCACTTATTTATAGAATCTTTTTCATGAAAAATACTTATTGGCCTTACCGGTATATCCCTGCGTATTCAAGAATGTTTTTGTTTTGTTTTGGTTTGGTTTGTTTTGTTTTTTTTTCCTCCCAATGCAGCTGAATGGGCTCATTTATTCACGGTTTTAGCTGTTCATGGGCCAGCCTGGCCTCAATCCACCCCAAATAGCGGCAGTCCGCTGTACTGGCAAGCAGGCCAAATTTGAGCATTTTCCCTTCCATGGTGATCAAAATCAGCAAAGGCCCAATTATCGGATACCCCAAAGGTTACCCTGAATGATCGTCCTGCGGAGTGAATTGTGTTCGAGGGATTTTTATTTTCCCTTTCCAAGCTTTCTGGGAAAAACAACAAATCGAACATTTTAAACTTGTCGAGTATTTACAATGGTGAATCTTTCAAGGTGGTGTATGTGAAACTGAATTTTTTTTCCCAGTACTACTACTTTGGATTTCCCGACTGTATGGAACACTTCGCTTCGATAGAGGTCAGTCTTGGTCATTTAACGAAGGAAGACGCATCAATCAATCAATCAATTTTAAAATTCTTTCACCGAAATTAAACAATAAAGTCAAGCCCTAGTGTATGGTCTGCCTTGTTGGTCATCTTTAGACATAAAATTTGGGTGGAACCCAAAGGACAAGCAGCATTCTTCTATCCACTCACAGCACACCAAGGCCTGTCCCAGTTGCAACCTGACAATAAATAAACAGCCAGCAGGTCCCATTCCATTCTTCGCCTTCCACTAATCCCTCATTCATTCCTTACAGGGGCAGCCCGGCGTCGCCATGGCAACCGACCATCCGAGCGGTGGTGGCCGTCTTGTTCTTTCGGCGAGGTAACGAGCTCCTAAATTTGAGGCCCTTAAACAAAAAGATGCACTGTGTGGTTTTTGTAATCATCTTATTAAAACAGAACTCGGACATTTATAATCCTCGGTAGAATGTTTACAGCTTTCTAATGCGGGAGCTGGCCGCGCTTGTTCATAGTTTACATACAGGGGCGTCGCCCTAGCGGGCTAGCACATTGAGGGGCTTTCAGCTTGTCGAGCGATTTGCTTATTCAAAAGTGGAGGTTTTGGTTTCCTGTGTCAACTCGACACATAGAGGACATAATAAATTCATTCAGCTTGCATTGGAGTGTCAGGGTGAAGAATGTTCCCCCAAAGAGACTTTTTTTTTTCCAACTCTTTTCTGCTGAGCACCTTCATTGCCATAGCAACCACTTGTAGCTAGGTTTTTGGTAGTGTTACACTGGAGACTGGGGAGTAGAAAAACGCAGCCACTAGAACAGGGATGGACAACTGGCGGCTCACGGGCAGCTGCCTGTGGCTCGCACCCATTCTCTGAGTGGCCCCTCAATAAATCCCCCCCACCACTCCTCCCCCAAATAAACACAAAAAAATTTTCAGCGTCCGCGGATTCACTTCGATTTTTTTCTTTTTTTTTTCTTTTTTTTTTTTTATGTTTGTTTTGTGTGTGTTATTTTTAGGGAGGGGGGTTGTAAAAAAAAAATGAAATCACAATTTTGCAATGCATTTCAATCGACCTTAATTATACAGTACATACACTTCGGATGTTCGCGGACTGACACATTTTGTTCATAGTTAAATTGGCATTTTTGTCATTGATCGGATCAGATGTTTGGGGTCCGACGAGGCCCATCAGTAGCGCCAGTGAAAAATTGTGGCTCCCTCCATCATTTAAGTTGCCGATGCCTACTCTATACTTAGTGACCCCCCCTTTTTTTTTTCTATAGCACACAATACAATCCATGTATTAAATTAAAAATTTAAAAAACTAATACTAAAAATAATTACAACTAAAACAGCATTTTGAACAAACTAATACAAACAAGCTCTAAAAACAAATTAAACCTATCTTAATTTTAAGATTAAAAAAAAAAAATCTAAAAACAAAAGAAAAACCCAAAACAATATCAACCCTGGAAGAGACTCAGGTCCACTCCAACAAAGCGAAAAGTGTGGAGTAAAATACAGCAGCCTCCACAGCGACTTCAGCATTGGTTATGCCAACGAAAAAAAAAAAAAATTCGAGTAGAGACTAAGGGCTGCTGCAGCAAAGTGGAGACTGCGTATAAACAGTGCAGTGTCTGCCACTAAGCTAAAGATAGCATGTGTCAATTCTAGCCGTGGAGATGTTACTAAGGCGAGTCTTCTAAAAAGCAGAGGTTCAATTCGAGCGACTGTTTACAGGGAGATAAAAGGCAACGCTGTGTGTCCTTCAGGATAACAACTAAAAACAGCCAACTGAGGCGGGGAAACCAAAACTGTTGTGACAAGTTGATAATGCTTTCAACCTTTCATCACTCGTCAGTGTTTGCTGATTGTCCGGGGTTATTTGACACCCACTCCATTCCTTAAAAACAGACGGAAGTGACGAGTCAAGCTTGAGCTTGTCAAAACTCAGCAGACCTACCTCATAAATGTGACTCCTACTTAAGAAAATCGACAGGATTAGCGCAAGAAAGGCATGTGTGCCACATTGTCATTCAATCATTTGTGTTCATCAAAGTAGGACAAGGAGGAGGAGGGATGCATACAACAGTGTGGCCCACTTTTGAGCTCGGCCCTTTGTCTTGAGCCTTGTACACTCGAGCCCCAAAAGTCCAACACTTGGAATTGGACTCATATTTTGGAGAATCCTGCGAATCATGTTTCTATTTCCTTATTTTGTGACTCTCTTTAAAATTAGGACTGTGTCTAGTTTATTTTACACTTCTATATTTCCTGTACAGTTAATAAAGGTTAACCGTTGATCCTGGAACTGAATGATTGACATTGTCAATTGGGAAAATCGAAACTTTCTGCGTACGTGACTTCAGAGGTTCCACCGTGACGTCATCTCACGAACCTGGCTTGATAATATCACGCCCATCTCACAAATCTCGTCTCGCACTGACCTGATCGCACCAGCTTGTCCAGCCTCTCCATGGAAGGCGAAGGCACACGGGACCTGGGGCTGCCCGGCAACGAGCACTCGGAGCCGCCGTCCAAGGAGTCGTCATAGTTGAGCATGAGTAGCTCTCTGACACATTTGTGGCACACGCTGTGCTGACAGGGTAGGATGAGGGGGTGCGTGAAAAGCTCCTTGCAGATGGGGCAGATCAGCTCCCGCTCGATATTTTTGATGGGAACCTGCAAAGCCATGAACAATCAATTTCAACGGGAACTTGCGGGCGGCAAAGGTATTAACAATCAATTTGACCCAACCCCCACCACATAGCCCCGAACCATTACCAAGTTTTCCACAATGACGACAGACTTTTTCACCAAATTTTGTAACAACCCCATATATTTTTTTCCAATTAAGGACAAAGTTTCTCAACATACAATTGCAAGGGATTTCGGGATTTCATCATCTACGGTTCATATCATCAAAAGGGTCTTAGGACAGCTTGTGGAGCCGACGATGAGAAGAAAGGAGCGTCAGCACAGACCGCAGATGCGTTTGTGGAACTGGGAGTCGCCGCTTGGAATTAAAGCGGATTTACATGGGACAGGAGATGTGAGCAAATCTTTTTTTTCCCCCATCAATAGACGCTACAGCTTCTTGTTTGCTTTCAAACTTAGCTCGTAGCAGACGTGTGCACATTTTCAGCAAGACGTCTTTGATCCACTGGTGAAAGGACGCTTTGATTCTCTCCTCTTTCATCTATAACTGCTTCAAACAACAAAGCGTATGCAGAAAAAGTGGTTAAGATTGCATGACTGTCTTTGTCTTATCTGTTGTGTTGTATTATTTTGTCATTTTATGTTAACTGTTCTGTTGATTGAGAGGAAAGATATTTCATCTGTGCTGTATGTTGCAACATATTTGACAATAAAGTTGACTTGACTAGAGAATCTGGAGAAATCACAGCCTGTACGCTGCAAGACCGACAAGCAACATTGAATGCCCATGACCATTGATCTTTCAGGCGGCACTGCATCAAAAAAAGACATGAATGTGTAAAAGATATCTCCACATGGGCTTCAGAAAATCAATGCCAGTAAATACACTTCAGTGCTACATCCGTAAGCACAATTTTAAATTTCACAAGCAGAGCAAAAGCCATTTATCAACGACACACCACCAGCTTTTCTAGGACTGAGCTCATTTAAGAAAAGTGTCCATAATTGTGAACATCGTGTCCTCCGGGCCAAAGAGGAAAAGAACCAACCAGACTGTTATGGACACAAAATTCAAGTTAGTATCTGTGATGGTATGGGGCTGTGTTCGGCCAGTGGCATGGGTAATTTACACACCCGTGAAGGCACCATTAATAATGAGAGGTACATACAGGTTTTGGACAATCTTATCCTGCCATCCAAGCAATGATTTTTTTTTTTTTCATGGACGTCCCTGCTTATTTCAGCAAGAAAATACCAAACCACATTCTGGATGTGTTACAACAGCGTGGCTTTGTAGTCGAAGAGCACAGGTACTAGACTGGCCTGTTTATCACGGATTTTTTAATCTAGTTTTACACCACGTTGTAGACATACTAATTTCAAGTACGAGGATGTTTTTTTTTTTGGATTGACAAATTCAACCCAAGTTTGTTTGTTTGAATTCCATTTCAAGAGAGGTATTTTGTGTGCTTTCTATCACATAGGTGTGACCAAATGGGCAAGCACGAAGCACACTTGTGCCAGTGTGACAATTAGTTCCTCCTTTGCATAGTGTCTTTCGTTTAGCGTGGTTCTCACACATTACATAAGAGAGGATTAAGTCCACCATCTAAATATAGACAAAAAACACGCGTAACGTGTGTCGCTCACGTTTACGATGTAAGCGCTTATTTGAACGACATAATTACAATTAATTTCGAGAAGTGAGCGCTCAGAAATCATTACAAAAACGTCACAGTGTTTCAAAGAGATTAAACTCCGGTATAATAGACGGAAATTCGAAGATTTATTTGAATATGCTTGTTTTGAGGAGAAAAATGACAATCTTGACGTATCGTCTCGTTAAAAGTATCATCAAACTTTTCCCCAAGTGACTTACCGCGTGTGTGTTACTTGGTCGCATCTCCGCATTCATGACGAAGGTGTGGGGTAATTTCACTTCCCACGGCTATTTAGATGATAAAACAACGATTTTCTTCAGTGTCCCAACACAAACGGCGTGTGTTTGGACGGCAGCTGATGCAGAGTACAAAAAAAAAAGCCGCGTGAACTTTTCGTGACGCCGCTTAAGGAGCAGAGCCGGCGAATTGGTAGCTGAAGTAGCCGACGCTGACTGCGGCTATGAAGGCAGCACGCGGGGGGGAGGGGAGGGCGCCTTGGGAAGAAAAGGGGTATCTCTATGGCAACGACTGTTGCTTTCAAGAGCATCTCGTAAACGTAATTACCAACGTCATCAATCTAACAGTCCCATTTTTTTTACTGTCAAACGGGCATGGTTTTGTGTAGAAAATGAAGTCCGTCTGCTCTAAACGTTGAATAAGTAAGCTGACAAGTTTTTGGACTTCAATAGAGCGTGTATGAATGGCAAACACGCAACACAATGATGGTTTTTGGCAAGGGCAAGGTACAATTTTTTAGGTACACCATCCAGTTGGATCAATTCAAGAACTGTGTAAAATAAGTTAAAACATGAGATTTGATGGCTACTTTCAGAGGAATTAATTGAATACATTCTTTATTATTGCTGTTGTGGTTTGCACGACGGCCAAAAGGCGCCGCGAGAGTGGCTGCCTTTCCAGCAGCTCCTATATTTTGTTGTTCTACGTCTTCCTTTCATAACTTTGCTGCTGCGAATTGGGAATTTCTCCATTGCGAGACTAATAAAGGTTTTCTTATCTTATAACGTTGTTACATTTTACAGCGCTTAACTTCTTTCATTTCAAAGTGCTTCACAGATTTGTTGTTACCTTTAAAGACGACTTGTGACTTAAAACACTACTTGCACAACAATTAAGAGGCTTTGGGGGCCACAGTTTGACCCTAGCACAGACTATTCCATTATTTCCCATGGGATTTTTTTTTTTTTTGGTAGACAGTCAGACTCTTCACACAAAAAAAAATATACAAGTGCATAAATTTAAAGCTGAGAACGAAAGTGAGATAGCAGACAGTAAACCCTCCTCCTTCCTTATTGACCAGTGTCATAAACTCCTCTCAGTAACCGGGTGACCTGACTCACTGCACAGCTGCTGCCAAGTGTGCCACATCCACCACTACATACACAAGAAGAGTGTGCACCCTGCCTGCAGCACTGTGGAACTGCTGTACTAGCACACATACAAACTCATCTCATTACAACACTTTCAGGCCTTCCAACACAACAAATGCCTGAAATAGCAACGTGTTACTCTACAATTGATCTTTAAATAGATCAGTATCCAGGAATGGTGTCGGAATGGTGTCGGAACGTTAGATCTTATGAGAGTACTTGCAATGGTCTATTTTTAATACGTTTGACAATAAAGTTGTATTCAATTCAATTAAGCTTTTCAGTGTAAAATATACATCGAATAAATAATAGCATACACTCACTAGCCATGATGATTAATTAGAATGTAATATTGTAATGCTGCAATATGTGGTCAAGGATGACACACTGAGCAGTAACAGAATGCGCATTCAATGAAGTGCTACTGTTGGGTACAGCTCACACTTTCACGCCTCAATGTTCCTTTACTCTTTCATCTGAAATTTTCTTTTGCTCTTTCTTCTTTGATGGTATCATAACCACCAATCAGGAAGGACCTCGACTGAGCAAAAGATACCACATTACAGTTTACAAATTGTCTCAAAATGTGTGTAATTATTAATTTAACACTGTATCTATGAATGTTCTTGGAGTTTATAGATGGATTAACCACCGGTACATCAAATAAAATCAATGAAAATTAATATGAATGAATACATTGTTTTATTACCTTTTCCGTTTTCATTTTGTTTTTTTAAATTGTATTGTTGTGATTCCTTTATTTAGCTACAAAGTAGTAAATCACATAAGTTGATTTCATTTTTTTTTTTACTTTTATAAGTATACAGTTATCTTAACGTCTTTTTTTATCTTTTATTCCTTAATATTTCACTTTTTCTAACAACAGACTATCTCTCTCTTTACTATATATATATATATATATATATATATTTTTTTTTTAAATACTTTATTGTGGATGTGCAGACTGCAGTGTACACTCGTACTAAAATGTATAATAATGATAATAATGACTGACACACACACACACACACACGTGTGTGTGTGTGTGTGTATCTGTGCGTATTTTAATGTTTTTACTTTTGTAAGGTTTTTTGGCTATTGAATAGACAGACCTGACCTGAAAACCTGGACTCACCCCCACTCACCCATTCTGAATATGCTTATACTGTATTTATATTTTATAATTTATATTTACTTATATACTTTTTGTTCTTCTGCTTCACCCTTTCATAATTGTTGCTGCTGTAAATTGGCAATTTCTCCATTGTGAGACAAATAAAGGGTGTCTTATCTTATCTTATTTGATGTCTTTTGGGTTCCTTTTCCAGTGGAGGTCAGAAAATTAGGAACAGCTCAGTGTGATGCAGTTGAACCCACCCATCGATAATCATAATAAACCTATCGCGACATGAAAAATGATTCTTGTAAGATAGACTATTTGGATTCATCGCTTGCATTTGAACTCATTGCTGTACCTAAAAAAAAGTGGCCGGTGAACATACTATGCATGCACATGACTAATCATTATGTTCAATTGCGTACAATGAGAATGACAGCAGACGATCAGCCTACACGAGTAATGGACGCAACATGACAATAAATCACATAGAAAATCACATAAAAATGACGTCAACAGTCAAAGGGGAAGCACATTGTATCGACTGTATCACATCAAAATGGCCATAAATCAAATCGATGTGACATAAACGGCACCGGACAGGCTTGCATGCGGCCGGGAACCAGACGACACGACACGTCGCCGTTTGCACTTCCATAGCCGGCCGTGAGACTCACCTCGCCCCGCTCGATACGTTCCACAATGCTGGCGAACTCCGTCATGTCCTCAGAGTCCGACATGGCTGCAGAATGACGAGGAAGGGGATGATGAAGAGGATGATGCAAGCGCGGGAGCTGTATTAAATATTACACACACACACGCAAACACACACACGCACACGCGTTCCCAACAGCTGTGGTTTAGAGCAACATGAGAACCATCCCATCCACGCTCCCTCCCTGCATGTTTTCTACAGTGCATGCGCAGACATCAGGAAAACATTTTTTATCTTTCATATCCAGTGTGTGTGTGTGTGTGTGTGTGTGTGTGTGTGTGTGTGTGTGTGTGTGTGTGTGTGTGTGTGTGTGTGTGTGTTCATCTTAACACCTCCTGCATGCCGGCTACACCCCTGAGCAGAGATGTCTCCTGTCACACAGAGCTCCTTTGACAGAGAATGAATGAATGGCTCCATTCTGTGTTGCTGATCTAAATTATTGTAATTTAAAAAAAAAAGATTCACAACATGAAAGAACAAAGGGGACAATGATTTTCTTCAGTTTGGCGCAATCACATCTTGCCGGTTACATGCTGTGTATTATGGGATTCATTGTTTGTCATTGAAATGTAATCATGTAGCTGTATGTACTGAATCGATCCACAGATTATGCACAGCTATATACATGTATTGATTGACATACTGCATCTACATCTTGATCCCCTTCTATCCTCCACATTTAGTAATCTATCAATCCATCCATCCCTATGTAGGGGAAAATGAGTCACTGTATCAGGTGCAGCAGCACTGAGCTCCATAAACCATTTACTGTAATGTGCTCTAATGTGTTACACGGGCCCGTCTAACTCCCCTCTTTGCATTTAAGAGCACCAGCGTTGTGTTAGTGTGAGGTAGGATTTAGTCTGTGATCTCATTTTTTTGGTATTTTGAAAATGCCACTTGTCCAAAGTCCCCAGATGGCCTCTTTGGCTCCATGTCGCATCGCAGACGCATACCAGACGCAGCAGTCTGCGATAACAATCACAAGTCACCTACCTACTGTCGTTGCTCTCCACACACATTGTACTGATAATAAATGTAATATTACTTTAGTAATCAAAGACAAATACTGTACATTTCTGATCATCCCTGTTAGCAAAAAGCTCCAAATAGCAAGATCCGAAGAAATGAGCCCTGAGGAACACCGTTGTTGGAAACTGTACACTCTGAAACACCTTTCACATTGCCTGCAAAAATAAATGGCACTGACACAGAAATTGTTGTACAAAGCTGAGATGGTGGTTTTCCATATTCAGGGAGAGAATACCACAGCCATAACAGAGTCGGAATGTGTGTGTGTGTGTGTGTGTGATTATAATACAATACACAGAAAAAAAGTTCTATTGGGATCTTCCTTAGCTCTTGGGTGTGTTCAAACCAATTACGACAACGATCAAAAGATTCTCAAGCCACACAGGAGCGAAAAGTCCTGTGGAACTGACACTTGACAAACCCGCACTGGCCTCCTACTGCACTAAATAGACAAGAAACATATTGCATTGTGTTTCACTGATTAAGATGGACACGGGTTGCACAACTGCAAAGGAATGAAGGATTTTGTAGGAAAGACTGACACACCAAACGTGTTGGTAAAAGGTTTTTAGTCTCATTGGAGAGGAAATGTGGAGGAAGAAGGCTCCTTTTTCTCAAAACGGGACCTTATTCAACAATGTTAAAGCCTACAATCCATCCCTTTTTTGTCCTTTCATCTCCCGTAGTAGTCGTAGAGGCCGTATTGGGTTGCACGCGTCACAAAAGGACGTCTGCGCCACACCCGAACACAGCTGTGTCTTGACGATTTCAACCTGGGTCGCGCTCAATTCCCTTTGGGAAGCGCAATGGAAGTGGCAGCGCATTTTTGCTTCATAGTTCAGTATCGGTCCGTCTGCACGTTGTGCGCCGCTGTGCTATAGCGGTTTTGATCTTACGTTCGTCACAATCTCTAAGGACTTGAAAATTAGGTCTTCTAATGAGGAGCAAGGTTTGTCATGGTTGAGAGTAAAAATAGAGCAAAAGGATTACTTTTATGAATAGTGAAACACGCTCGCAGGAGACAAGACTCCATTTGTTGTAGGTGCGGAACAGTGAGGGGTCTATTTGCGGCAGGGTTTTATTTTTCGAATTTGGATATGGAGTCTATTAAAAGGGCCTTATTTGAGGAATTACGTCAAAACATTTGCTTATCTCGAGGCTTAATGCAAATTGGTCAACTGCACACAATGTTTATGACTTGAATATTCAAAACAAACCAGCAAACACCAGACGGGATGGGCACCTTGACGTATTTTATTTCTCATAGAGTATTTGCAGCTGGGCTTGGAAATGCACGACATTCGTTTGCATTTCCATTCCGCCTCTTTGCTTGCGCATATTTACAGTTTATTGACATTTCTTTACAAAGCATAGAAAAAGAAAATAAATGGCATTTCATGTTATATTGTTACATCATGTATATCAGTGGCTGTATGGCATAGAGTCGCTTAATGTCAGCAGAGGGTCCATCTGCAGTTAAGTGGCGTAAGTATTGAAGGGATCTGAGTCAGTGTTTTTTTTTTTTTTCCCCCCTCCTTCAAGAAATGCATTATGTCCCGGATTACTGGCATTGCAGAGAAAATGCATCAAAGTTGGTAGAGCGGAGCGAAAGGAAGCCTATTTATCAGACAGAATCATGTACCCGAGCTCCACTCGTGCACGGGCTAATTAGAACACCGCGAGTAAAGTGAGGCACATTTCAAAGTGGTCTTCAGCTCCGAGGACACGCACTAAATGAATGTAGACTCGGCCTTTGGAGGACACATGGAACGTGGCATCATTCCATTAGAAAGCAGCAGCACAGAGTTGGAAAAAGCAGAACGATGCTGATTCTGAACACACACACACACACACACACGCGCGCGCACACACACACACACACACACACACACACACACACACACACACA